GGTGGACATGATGCCACACTCACATACAAGCTGGACATGATGATCACACTCACATACAAGCTGGACACGATGACCACACTCACATACAAGCTGGACACGATGACCACACTCACATACAAGCTGGACACGACCACACTCACATACAAGCTGGACATGATGACCACACTCACATACAAGCTGGACATGATGACCACACTCATACAAGCTGGACATGATGACCACACTCATACAAGCTGGACATGATGACCACACTCATACAAGGTGGACATGAGACCACACATACAAGGCAGGCCATGCTGACCACACTCATAAGGTGGAAATGATGACCACATGCTCACCACAAGTCTCTAAGCCTCCCAAGAGCAGGGTCAGGGAACAGCAGACACTTGCCAGAAATTAATCCACAGCACAAATCAGCTAGAGGGGAGGGGGGGGGCGGGGGGCTCACACGTGCCCGTGCACTCACATACAACCAACATTCTTTCCAGACTGAGAGGGAGCTGACATGAGCAAGCACCGGCGGGCTCTGCTGCCCCCGGCCGAGGTGTGCCCACCGGCTACGCGGTGTGGGGTGGTGTGCAGCATGAGGTGGCAGCACTCCAACTCTGGGAAGGGAGCAGCACAGGATGCACATGAGCATGCAGGAGGCACTGCACCCCCCTTAGTGCCGGTCCTGGAGGCTAAGTTGAAGAGGACTTCCCACTGCTGTGCTGGCCTGTCTCCCCTTTAACAGTAAGCAGATATGCCATGCATCACCAGAGTAAAATACAATGCAAGTATTGTTCATTTGGGAAACAGCATTGCAGAGAAATACTTCAGAGCGTCTGAGGCCTTATTGGCAGCTAGTAGATAACTCACTTTTAGATACACATGTGTGCGAATGTGTGCCCATGTCCATGTTCCTGCACACTTCTGTCCCCTCACTTCTGTATCCCTGTGTCTGTGTGCTCCTGTTTATCTGCCTGTGCGCCTGCATCGCTGCGTGCTTGAATCCCTATGTACCTGTGTGCCTGTGTGCCTGTGTGCCCGTGTCCCTGTATGCCTGTGTCCCTGTGTGCCTGTGTCCCTGTGTGCCTGTGTGCCTATGTGCCCGTGTCCCTGTGTGCCTGTGTCCCTGTGTGCCTGTGTCCCTGTGTGCCTGTGTGCCTGTGTGCCCGTGTCCCTGTGTGCCCGTGTCCCTGTGTCCCTGTGTGCCTGTGTCCCTGTGTCCCTGTGTCCCTGTGTGCCTGTGTGCCCGTGTCCCTGTGTGCCTGTGTCGCTGTGTGTCTGTGTCCCTGTGTCCCTGTGTGCCTGTGTCCCTGTGTGCCCGTGTCCCTGTGTCCCTGTGTGCCTGTGTGCCTGTGTGCCCGTGTCCCTGTGTCCCTGTGTGCCTGTGTGCCTGTGTGCCCGTGTGCCCGTGTCCCTGTGTGCCCGTGTCCCTGTGTGCCTGTGTCCCTGTGTGCCCGTGTCCCTGTGTGCCTGTGTGCCTGTGTGCCCGTGTCCCTGTGTCCCTGTGTGCCTGTGTCCCTGTGTGCCCGTGTCCCTGTGTGCCTGTGTGCCTGTGTGCCCGTGTCCCTGTGTCCCTGTGTGCCTGTGTGCCTGTGTGCCTGTGTGCCCGTGTCCCTGTGTCCCTGTGTGCCTGTGTGCCCGTGTGCCCGTGTCCCTGTGTGCCCGTGTCCCTGTGTGCCCGTGTCCCTGTGTCCCTGTGTGCCTGTGTGCCCGTGTCCCTGTGTCCCTGTGTCCCTGTGTGCCCGTATCCCTGTGTGCCCGTGTCCCTATGTCCCTGTGTGCCTGTGTCCCTGTGTCCCTGTGTGCCTGTGTGCCTGTGTCCCTGTGTGCCCGTGTCCCTGTGTCCCTGTGTGCCTGTGTGCCCGTGTCCCTGTGTCCCTGTGTCCCTGTGTGCCCGTGTCCCTGTGTGCCCGTGTCCCTATGTCCCTGTGTGCCTGTGTCCCTGTGTGCCTGTGTGCCCGTGTGCCTGTGTCCCTGTGTGCCTGTGTCCCTGTGTCCCTGTGTGCCCGTGTCCCTGTGTGCCTGTGTCCCTGTGTCCCTGTGTGCCTGTGTCCCTGTGTCCCTGTGTGCCTGTGTCCCTGTGTGCCTGTGTGCCTGTGTCCCTGTGTGCCTGTGTCCCTGTGTCCCTGTGTCCCTGTGTCCCTGTGTGCCTGTGTGCCTGTGTCCCTGTGTGCCTGTGTCCCTGTGTCCCTGTGTCCCTGTGTCCCTGTGTGCCTGTGTCCCTGTGTGCCCGTGTCCCTGTGTGCCTGTGTCCCTGTGTGCCCGTGTCCCTGTGTCCCTGTGTGCCTGTGTCCCTGTGTCCCTGTGTCCCTGTGTGCCCGTGTCCCTGTGTCCCTGTGTGCCTGTGTGCCTGTGTCCCTGTGTGCCTGTGTGCCTGTGTCCCTGTGTGCCTGTGTCCCTGTGTCCCTGTGTCCCTGTGTGCCCGTGTCCCTGGGTGCCTGTGTCCCTGTGTCCCTGTGTCCCTGTGTGCCTGTCCCTGTGTGCCTGTGTGCCTGTGTGCCTGTGTCCCTGTGTGCCTGTGTCCCTGTGTCCCTGTGTCCCTGTGTGCCTGTCCCTGTGTGCCTGTGTGCCTGTGTGCCTGTGTGCCTGTGTCCCTGTGTGCCTGTGTCCCTGTGTCCCTGTGTGCCTGTGTCCCTGTGTCCGTGTCCCTGTGTGCCCGTGTCCCTGTGTCCCTGTGTGCCTGTCCCTGTGTGCCTGTGTGCCTGTGTGCCCATGTCCCTGTGTGCCTGTGTCCCTGTGTGTCTGTGTCCCTGTGTCCCTGTGTGCCTGTGTCCCTGTGTGCCCGTGTCCCTGTGTCCCTGTGTCCCTGTGTGCCCGTGTCCCTGTGTGCCTGTGTGCCTGTGTCCCTGTGTCCCTGTGTGCCTGTCCCTGTGTGCCTGTGTGCCTGTGTGCCTGTGTGCCTGTGTGCCTGTGTCCCTGTGTCCCTGTGTGCCTGTGTCCCTGTGTCCCTGTGTGCCTGTGTGCCCGTGTCCCTGTGTGCCTGTGTCCCTGTGTGCCCGTGTCCCTGTGTGCCTGTGTCCCTGTGTCCCTGTGTGCCTGTGTGCCCGTGTCCCTGTGTGCCTGTGTCCCTGTGTCCCTGTGTGCCTGTGTCCCTGTGTCCCTGTGTCCCTGTGTGCCTGTGTGCCTGTGTGCCTGTGTCCCTGTGTGCCTGTGTCCCTGTGGGCCTGTGTGCCTGTGTCCCTGTGTCCGTGTCCCTGTGTGCCTGTGTCCCTGTGTGCCCGTGTCCCTGTGTCCCTGTGTGCCTGTGTGCCTGTGTCCCTGTGTCCCTGTGTGCCCGTGTCCCTGTGTGCCTGTGTCCCTGTGTCCCTGTGTCCCTGTGTGCCCGTGTCCCTGTGTCCCTGTGTGCCTGTGTGCCTGTGTCCCTGTGTCCCTGTGTGCCCGTGTCCCTGTGTGCCTGTGTCCCTGTGTCCCTGTGTCCCTGTGTGCCCGTGTCCCTGTGTGCCCGTGTCCCTGTGTGCCCGTGTCCCTGTGTCCCTGTGTGCCTGTGTCCCTGAGTGCCTGTGTCCCTGTGTCCCTGTGTCCCTGTGTGCCTGTGTGCCCGTGTCCCTGTGTGCCCATGTCCCTGTGTGCCCGTGTCCCTGTGTCCCTGTGTCCCTGTGTGCCTGTGTCCCTGTGTCCCTGTGTGCCCGTGTCCCTGTGTCCCTGTGTGCCTGTGTCCCTGAGTGCCTGTGTCCCTGTGTCCCTGTGTGCCTGTGTCCCTGTGTGCCTGTGTCCCTGTGTCCCTGTGTGCCTGTGTGCCCGTGTCCCTGTGTGCCCGTGTCCCTGTGTGCCCGTGTCCCTGTGTCCCTGTGTGCCTGTGTCCCTGAGTGCCTGTGTCCCTGTGTCCCTGTGTCCCTGTGTGCCTGTGTCCCTGTGTGCCCGTGTCCCTGTGTCCCTGTGTGCCTGTGTCCCTGTGTGCCCGTGTCCCTGTGTGCCTGTGTGCCCGTGTCCCTGTGTGCCCATGTCCCTGTGTGCCCGTGTCCCTGTGTCCCTGTGTCCCTGTGTGCCTGTGTCCCTGTGTCCCTGTGTCCCTGTGTCCCTGTGTCCCTGTGTGCCCGTGTCCCTGTGTCCCTGTGTCCCTGTGTCCCTGTGTCCCTGTGTGCCCATGTCCCTGTGTGCCCATGTCCCTGTGTGCCCGTGTCCCTGTGTGCCTGTGTGCCCGTGTCCCTGCGTGCCCGTGTCCCTGTGTGCCCGTGTCCCTGTGTTCCCGTGTGTCCGTGTCCCTGCGTGCCCGTGTCCCTGCGTGCCCTTGTCCCTGCGTGCCCGTGTCCCTGTGTGCCCGTGTCCCTGTGTGCCCGTGTGTCCGTGTCCCTGCGTGCCCGTGTCCCTGTGTGCCGGTGTCCCTGTGTGCCCGTGTCCCTGTGTGCCCGCGTGCCCGGTCCTCCTCCTGCCCTAGGCTTCGTGCCCTTGGCCGCCAATGCCTGACTTCACCTTCACCCTCTATGCTGCCACCGTCTAGCTCCCGGACCTGCCAGCCTGTCCCACCGTCAGGCGAGAGTGGCACTGTCCCCCCCCCCCCCCAGACCTTCCAGGACAGGCCCCACCCGTGGCCATGGGGCCCTGCTGCAGTGGGGCTCAGCTCACTGTCCGGTGTTCGTGGTGAGATCAGGGGAACTGAGCATACATCATGCCCTCAGGACATGCCCAGCCCCGGCAGATACCTAGCAAGCACTCTGGAAAACAATGTGCAGGAGGAGGACCGGAAGCTGGGTGGGCCCTGGTGTGGGAGCGAGGGGGCCTGTGGTGGCTCCTTCCCAGGCCACGAGCCTCTACCCGCCCTTCCCACCCCTCCTCAGGCACGCACACTGCCCAGGCCCATAGGGCCAGGGAGGCAGACACAGGCCACTCAGCAGAGGAGGGCGCAGACTCAAGGAGGCATGGTGGGCCACTTTATTGTGACGCTAGGCAGATGTGTGCTGTGCTGCACAAAGCCCCGGAGGGCAAAGACTTGCACATGGAGCATGGAGGGACCAGCCGCCGAGGAGACGGGATCCAGCCCTGGCCCCGCCCTCGGCCCACGTCCAGCTGCGCTTTCACTGCAACTCTTCCACCCTGGCGCGCTCATCCTCCAAGGGCAGAGCTAAGTGAGAAGAGCCACCAGGGAGGGCCTCGCCATCTAGGGGAGGGCATGGCCGTCAGGGGGAGGGCATGGCCATCAGGGGGAGGGCATGGCCATCAGGGGGAGGGCATGGCCATCTGGAGGAGGGAATGGCTACTGGGGGAGGGCATGGCTTTCAGGGGGCGGACATGATAGTCTGGGGGAGATCATGGCTGTCAGGGGAAGACGTGACAGTCAGGGAGAGGACATGATGGTCAGGGGGAGGGCATGACCTTCAGGGGGAGGACATGGCTGTCCAGGGGTGGGCATGGCCATCTGGCCTGAGCAGACACAGGGTTGGGGGCAGGGCATGACCATCTGGGGAGGACATGGCCATCCAGGGGAGGGCAGGACTGTCTGCCTGAGGCACAGGGCTGGGGGCAGGGCATGGCTGCCTCCCTTACAGGCAGGTGAGGTCTGGATTACCCCTGGGAGACCTGGCCCCTCGGTGTCTGAGCCTTGCCACCTGAACAAAGTCCTGCTCTCTGGGGGACTCATGAGGCGCACCTGGACGAGCTGAGCACTAAGCAGCCCTCCTGGGTGCTGGGCTGCACGCCCGCCCAGCCCCTGTGGCGTCTGTGACAGGCCTTCCAAACAGCTGCTCGAGCCTGCAGCCCCGGGGCACAGAGCACAGGGCGGGAAGCACCGCTCCGGTGCCCGGTATCACAGCGGGCACAAGGAGGGACACAGGGCACAGCTTCTGGCCCCGCCCATGGATGGAGTGAGGCAGCTTTAGTCCTGTGCAAAGGGACGGCTCTGAGGAAGGGCCTCGCCCCCACCCCTCCCTGCGCCCCAAAGCCACACTCCAGGACCATGGCTGCACCAGCTGGCCGCCAAGGCCCAGGCCCTCCGCTGCTCCTTGGTGGGGCCTGGGAGGGGAGGCACAGGGAAAGCAGGCTTTTTCTAGAAGCAGAAACATGAGGACACCCACATGGTCACAGAGGCTAGGAGGGAACCTTCCAGAAGGAAGTTCCTGTGATGCACAGAAACCAAAGTCCAGAAAAACACCCGGCCCGTCCACAGCAGACCCCACCAGGCATCCCTGTCCCAGCACTGCCAGGGGTGGCCACACATGGAACTGGCATTGCACAGGTGAGGAGGGCCTGTGGCTCCTGACCTCCCCTGGCTCCCAAAGCCCAGCACCACCACGCCCAACTGGATGGACTCTGGATGCCTCAGCCCCCCTCCCCCAGCACCACCACGCCCAACTGGATGGACTCTGGATGCCTCAGCCCCCCTCCCCCCGCACCACCACGCCCAACTGGATGGACTCTGGATGCCTCAGCCCCCCTCCCCCCGCACCACCACGCCCAACTGGATGGACTCTGGATGCCTCAGCCCCCCTCCCCCAGCACCACCACGCCCAACTGGATGGACTCTGGATGCCTCAGCCCCCCTCCCCCAGCACCACCACGCCCAACTGGATGGACTCTGGATGCCTCAGCCCCCCTCCCCCAGCACCACCACGCCCAACTGGATGGACTCTGGATGCCTCAGCCCCTCCCCCCGCACCACCACGCCCAACTGGATGGACTCTGGATGCCTCAGCCCCTCCCCCAGCACCACCACGCCCAACTGGATGGACTCTGGATGCCTCAGCCCCCCTCCCCCAGCACCACCACGCCCAACTGGATGGACTCTGGATGCCTCAGCCCCTCCCCCCGCACCACCACGCCCAACTGGATGGACTCTGGATGCCTCAGCCCCTCCCCCCGCACCACCACGCCCAACTGGATGGACTCTGGATGCCTCAGCCCCTCCCCCCGCACCACCACGCCCAACTGGATGGACTCTGGATGCCTCAGCCCCCCTCCCCCCGCACCACCACGCCCAACTGGATGGACTCTGGATGCCTCAGCCCCCCCCACTACCGGCCGCCAACCCAGTGCCTACACGTGGCCGCCATCTCGTTGCAGTCCTTCCTGTGGAACTCTGCCCAGGCCTTGGTCTTGCAGTACTTGCTGCAGGTCAGGATGCCATAGCAGCGCGTGCAGGGCGAGAGGCGGACACCAATGGAGCGGCCACACTGGTAGCAGAACTTGAAGAAGGGGAGGCTGCAGTCAAACGACAGGACAGGGCTGTGAGCAGGCCGGGGCGGGCAGAGCTCCGGCCTGGGCTGGGGACATGCTCCCACACGCCACACCTGACCCCTCAGGGGTCACCGCGGGACATTGCCGGGAATGAGAGCACAGAGACCAGTGCAGACCCTGAGCAGGGCCACAGAGCCAGCCCTGCCTCCGCACCGCTGGGGGCTGGAGGGCTGGGGCTGAGGACCTGGGTACACCACACCACGGCCCCTGCCGCTGACCCTGACACCCTGCCTGAGAGCCACAGGGGGTCAGAGCCCAGGCCCCCAGAGTGACCGCCGGAACAAGGCCATGCAGATTTGAGCAAAGGAAGCAAGTGGGGCCTAAGAGGCTCCATGCCATCCAAACCACTCTGCCTCCCGAAAGACCCAGGGGCCCTTCCTCTGCACCCCCCCCACCCACCCACAGCCCTTCCCCTGCACCCCCCCACCCACCCACAGCCCTTCCCCTGCACCCACCCCCCCACCCACCCACAGCCCTTCCCCTCCACCCACAGCCCTTCCCCTGCACCCACAGCCCTTCCCCTCCACCCACAGGCCTTCCCCTCCACCCCACCCACAGCCCTTCCCCTGCACCCACCCCCCCACCCACCCACAGCCCTTCCCCTGCACCCACAGCCCTTCCCCTCCACCCACAGGCCTTCCCCTCCACCCCACCCACAGCCCTTCCCCTGCACCCACCCCCCCACCCACCCACAGCCCTTCCCCTGCACCCCCCCACCCACAGCCCTTCCCCTCCACCCACCCCCCCACCCACAGCCCTTCCCCTCCACCCACAGCCCTTCCCCTCCACCCCACCCACCCACAGCCCTTCCCCTCCACCGCCCCCACCCCCCATGGCCCTTCCCTTCCACCCCACCCCACCCACGGCCCTTCCCCTGTACCCCACCCCACCCACCCACAGCCCTTCCCCTGCACCCCACCCCCACCCACCCACGGCCCTTCCCCTCCACCCCACCCACCCCCACCCACCCACGGCCCTTCCCCTCCACCCCACCTACCCACAGCCCTTCCCCTCCACTCCACCCACCCACGGCCCTTCCCCTGCACCCCACCCCATCCACCCATGGCCCTTCCCCTCCACCCCACCCCCATCCACCCACGGCCCTTCCCCTCCACCGCCCCCACCCCCCATGGCCCTTCCCCTCCACCCCACCCACCCACGGCCCTTCCCCTGCACCCCACCCCCATCCACCCATGGCCCTTCCCCTCCACCCCACCCCCATCCACCCATGGCCCTTCCCCTCCACCCCACCCACCCACAGCCCTTCCCTTCCACCTCACCCCACCCACCCACGGCCCGTCCCCTCCACCCCACCCACAGCCCTTCCCCTGCACCCACCCCCCCACCCACCCACAGCCCTTCCCCTGCACCCCCCCCACCCACAGCCCTTCCCCTCCACCCACAGCCCTTCCCCTGCACCCCCCCACCCACAGCCCTTCCCCTCCACCCACAGCCCTTCCCCTCCACCCCACCCACCCACAGCCCTTCCCCTCCACCGCCCCCATCCCCCATGGCCCTTCCCTTCCACCCCACCCACCCCACCCACGGCACTTCCCCTGCACCCCACCCCCACCCACCCACGGCCCTTCCCCTCCACCCCACCCACCCCCACCCACCCACGGCCCTTCCCCTCCACCCCACCTACCCACGGCCCTTCCCCTCCACCCCACCTACCCACGGCCCTTCCCCTCCACCCCACCCCCATCCACCCATGGCCCTTCCCCTCCACCCCACCCCCATCCACCCACGGCCCTTCCCCTCCACCGCCCCCACCCCCCATGGCCCTTCCCCTCCACCCCACCCCCATCCACCCACGGCCCTTCCCCTCCACCCCATCCACCCACGGCCCTTCCCCTCCACCCCTCCACCCACCATCCCTCCCAAACACTTCTCCTGGCCCCACACTCACGATTCCTTTTTCTCCACAGCCTTGGTCGGGCTGCTGCTCCTCTTCTTCAGCCTGTGGATGGGGCCCATCTCCGCTGCAGCAGGGAGAGGCTCTGGTCAGGGCCCAGCCTGGGGCCGCCGGGCTTTCCGGGTCCCCGCTGCAGGAGCGGCGTGGGCCCTGCAGCCCCTGTGCCACTGCCACTGGGTGCCCCTTCACAAGGCTGCCGGCTGGCCACCAGTGTCTCACACTTGTACGCCTGGCACATGAGGACTGCGGTGTGAAGCCAACCTCCACAGGAAAACCATAGGACTTTTATCTCCCATTAACCAGCAAAAGGCTGGAAGTGAAAATGTGGTTCAAATGGTAAAGCACCAGCTTTGAGCATGCCCAAGCCCTGAATTCAAGTCCAAGTACTGGCACACACACACAGAAGGTACCAGGCTGCCTTGCTGGGCCCACAGCCCCTCCCAAGTGGAGGCCAGGAAGCCAGGCCAGTTGTTCCCGCTCCTCAGGTGGCCGGCACTGTCTGCTGAGTGCTTGCTCAGGGACAGTCTCCTGTGTGGCCTCTGTCCAGCAGCAAACCGCTGTGAAGGACAGCCTGGGAGCCACCTGTGCCCTGGCGTGGCAGCAGCTGGAGAAGGCCCCTGCTGACCTCGCCTTCCCTGACCCCACCAGTGCATCCCCCATGCTGGCCCTTGTTTAAGGTGTCAACAGTGCTCAGGGCATCCTTAGTCCTAACGACTGCCCAGGGAAATCACTGAACCCGACCCGGGAAGACTCTCCAACAGCTGCCAGGGGTGGTCCACCCTCCTCTCCCAGATGGCACTTAGACTTCTCCTTTTGATCTCCACTGGCTCTGGCTGGAGAACCCCAGGACGAGAACCCTGTAGTTCAGCAGCTGAGAAGTCCCAGTCCTGAGGCACCTTTCACTGGGGGCTACTGCAGACACTGGCTGAAGGTGGGACAACTGGAGATGGGAGACCAGCAGCCCCCATCCCCACCCACACCCCAGAGTCCCCATCCCCACCCCAGAGTGCCCATCCCCACCCCAGAGTGCCCATCCCCAACCCACACCCCAGAGTCCCCATCCCCACCCCAGAGTCCCTACCCACACCCCAGAGTCCCCATCCCACACCCCAGAGTCCCCATCCCCAACCCAGAGTCCCCATCCCACACCCCAGTGTCCCCATCCCACACCCACACCCCAGAGTCCCCATCCCCACCCACACCCCAGAGTCCCCATCCCCAGCCCAGAGTGCCCATCCCCAACCCAGAGTGCCCCATCCCCAACCCAGAGTGCCCCATCCCCAACCCAGAGTGCCCATCCCCAACCCAGAGTGCCCCATCCCCAACCCAGAGTGCCCATCCCCAACCCAGAGTGCCCATCCCCAACCCAGAGTGCCCCATCCCCAACCCAGAGTGCCCATCCCCACCCACACCCCAGAGTACCCATCCCCAACCCAGAGTGCCCATCCCCAACCCAGAGTGCCCATCCCCAACCCAGAGTGCCCCATCCCCAACCCAGAGTGCCCATCCCCACCCACACCCCAGAGTGCCCATCCCCAACCCAGAGTGCCCATCCCCAACCCAGAGTGCCCCATCCCCAACCCAGAGTCCCCATCCCCAAGCCAGAGTGCCCCATCCCCAACCCAGAGTGCCCCATCCCCAACCCAGAGTGCCCCATCCCCAACCCAGAGTCCCCATCCCCAACCCAGAGTGCCCCATCCCCAACCCAGAGTGCCCATCCCCAACCCAGAGTGCCCCATCCCCAACCCAGAGTGCCCATCCCCACCCACACCCCAGAGTGCCCATCCCCAACCCAGAGTGCCCATCCCCAACCCAGAGTGCCCATCCCCAACCCACACCCCAGAGTCCCCATCCCCAACCCAGAGTGCCCATCCCAAACCCAGAGTCCCCATCCCCAACCCAGAGTGCCCATCCCCAACCCAGAGTGCCCATCCCCAACCCAGAGTGCCCGTCCCCATCCCCAAACCACACCCCAGAGTCCCCATCCCCAACCCACACCCCAGAGTGCCCATCCCCAACCCAGAGTGCCCATCCCCAACCCAGAGTGCCCATCCCCAACCCACACCCCAGAGTCCCCATCCCCAACCCAGAGTGCCCATCCCCAACCCAGAGTGCCCCATCCCCAACCCAGAGTGCCCATCCCCAACCCAGAGTGCCCATCCCCAACCCACACCCCAGAGTCCCCATCCCACACCCACACCCCAGAGTCCCCATCCCACACCCACACCCCAGAGTGCCCATCCCACACCCACACCCCAGAGTCCCCATCCCCAACCCAGAGTGCCCATCCCCAACCCAGAGTCCCCATCCCCAACCCAGAGTCCCCATCCCACACCCACACCCCAGAGTCCCCATCCCCAACCCACACCCCAGAGTCCCCATCCCACACCCACACCCCAGAGTCCCCATCCCCACCCACACCCCAGAGTCCCTATCCCACACCCACACCCCAGAGTCCCCATCCCCAACCCACACCCCAGAGTCCCCATCCCCAACCCACACCCCAGAGTCCCCATCCCACACCCACACCCCAGAGTCCCCATCCCCAACCCAGAGTCCCCATCCCCAACCCAGAGTCCCCATCCCCAACCCAGAGTCCCCATCCCACACCCAGAGTCCCCATCCCACACCCAGAGTCCCCATCCCACACCCAGAGTCCCCATCCCCAACCCAGAGTGCCCATCCCCAACCCAGAGTGCCCATCCCCAACCCAGAGTCCCCATCCCACACCCACATCCCAGAGTCCCCATCCCCAACCCACACCCCAGAGTCCCCATCCCCAACCCACACCCCAGAGTCTCTATCCCACACCCACACCCCAGAGTCTCCATCCCACACCCACACCCCAGAGTGCCCATCCCCAACCCAGAGTCCCCATCCCACACACACACCCCAGAGTCCCCATCCCACACCCACACCCCAGAGTCCCCATCCCACACACACACCCCAGAGCCCCCATCCCACACACACACCCCAGAGTCCCCATCCCACACCCCAGAGTCTCCATCCCACACCCAGAGTCCCCATCCCACGGACCCCAGAGTCCCCATCCCCAACCCAGAGTCCCCATCCCACACCCCAGAGTCCCCATCCCACACCCCAGAGTCCCCATCCCACACCCACACCCCAGAGTCCCCATCCCACACCCCAGAGTCCCCATCCCACACCCCAGAGTCCCCATCCCACGGACCCCAGAGTCCCCATCCCCAACCCACACCCCAGTGTCCCCATCCCACACCCACACCCCAGAGTCTCCATCCCACACCCCAGAGTCCCCATCCCACACCCCAGAGTCCCCAACCCACACCCCAGAGTCCCCATCCCCAACCCACACCCCAGTGTCCCCATCCCACACCCACACCCCAGAGTCTCCATCCCATATCCCAGAGTCTCCATCCCACACCCCAGAGTCCCCATCCCCAACCCATACCCCAGTGTCCCCATCCCACACCCATACCCCAGTGTCCCCATCCCACACCCCAGAGTCCCCATCCCACACCCCAGAGTCTCCATCCCCAACCCACACCCCAGAGTCCCCAACCCACACCCCAGAGTCTCCATCCCACACCCACACCCCAGTGTCCCCATCCCACACCCCAGTGTCCCCATCCCACACCCCAGAGTCCCCATCCCACACCCCAGAGTCCCTATCCCACACCCCAGAGTGCCCATCCCACGGACCCCAGAGTCCCCATCCCCAACCCACACCCCAGTGTCCCCATCCCACACCCACACCCCAGAGTCTCCATCCCACACCCCAGAGTCCCCATCCCACACCCCAGAGTCTCCATCCCACACCCCAGTGTCCCCATCCCACACCCCAGAGTCCCCATTCCACACCCCAGAGTCTCCATCCCACACCCACACCCCAGTGTCCTCATCCCACACCCCAGAGTCTCCATCCCACACCCACACCCCAGTGTCCCCATCTACACACTCACACCACAGTGCCCCCTGCCCATGCTGTGTTTAGAAGCCTTACTCCACAGAACAGGACACCCACGTGTTTGCACCTGGCCTCCTCCATATGGAGCCCTGCTTTCTGATTGGCCCCGAGTAGCCACCATGACTCCATCCCACACAGGAAACGTGTGGACAGTGGGGAGTGCGTGGGGGCCACCGTGGGAGATGGGTTGTAGGCAGTGTGCGTGGGAGGGAGGGTGGCACGTGGTGGGTAAGGATTGTGTAGAACAGGCTGGGGGCCATGAGTATGATTGAGGACTGTTAGAATGCACTGTTAGAAGGCAAGGTTTGGGGCGGGGGTGTTGCTGTAGATGATGTGTGGATTATTATGTGGCAGATGTGGGAGGGGTTGGTTAGATACCTGTGATTGTGTATGAGCATGTACCAGTACACAGGCAATCATGTGGATGTGTGTGTGTGCACTGTGAACACATGTGTGGCTGTGTACGGTCACATGTGTGGCTGTGGCTAGGGTTTTGCATGTATGAAAGACATGGGGGCTGTTATGTATAGGGATGTGGTGGAGGATGGGTGGGTGGGTGGGCTGGCTGCACAGGTTGGCAGGTATGAGGGTGGGGTGGGGGGGTTGCATATGGCTGGCTGGGTGGAAGGGACTCATGCAGCCTGGAATCTGTACTGTGGGATTCCCGTGGGGGGGGGGCCACGTGTGGTTTGGGCAGCTGGCACCTGGGTTGCAGTGGTGGCACGTGGACACCTGTGGGTGGACTGTGTGACAAAAACTGTCTTTTCTTTCCAAGTGTGTTGCTTAAAAGCTCCTGCTTTGGCCAGGTGCTTTGGGTCTTGTCAAGGACAAGAGGAACCCCTTTGGGATAGGAAGCATCTTTTGAAATGCAAAAGATCTTTGTCTTATCAAGATAGAATTGAGATGCACCTGAGATTGTTCAGGGAACAGCAGAAGGTGCAGGGTATATTTTGAGATTACTTGTGTGCTGTTAATCTTATTTCACTATCGCTGTATGTAAGTGTATTTTGCTGGGACCTGAGCAGGGGCGGGGCCTGCTGGGTCGGGATGAACGGAGAGCAGCCGCCTGCTCTCTGTGCTTGCTTGTCAGACTTTTGGCTGATGGTGCACCCCTCCAAGAAGCAAACTTTGTCTTGCTGAGACGATTGTTTTCATGTCTGCCACTGTGTCTCCAATGGTTTGTGGAGAGCACGTTAATAACACCTAATATGCAGCACTGGGCCGAGAGTGACGTGGACATTCACGGAGGGCAGGCCACTTGCAGAGGGGACTAAGGAGAGAACGGAGGGTGGGGAGGATAGATAGGAGAGGCTGGTGTGTGTGTGTGTGTGTGTGTGTGTGTGTGTGTGTGTGTGTGTGTGTGTGTGCGCACGCTTATGGGATGGGGTGCTGTGTGTGGGACGGGGTGCTGTGTGTCTGTGTGGGATGGGGTGCTGTGTGTGGGATGGGGTGCTGTGTGTCTGTGTGTGGGATGGGGTGCTATGTATGGGATGGGGTGCTGTGTGTGGGATGGGGTGCTGTGTGTGGGATGGGGTGCTGTGTGTGTGTCTGTGTGTGGGATGGGGTGCTGTGTGTGGGATGGGGTGCTGTGTGTGTGTCTGTGTGTGGGATGGGGTGCTGTGTGTGGGATGGGGTGCTGTGTGTGTGTGTGTGTGTGTGGGATGGGGTGCTGTGTGTGTGTCTGTGTGTGGGATGGGGTGCTGTGTGTGGGATGGGGTGCTGTGTGTGGGATAGGGTGCTGTGTGTGTGTCTGTGTATGGGATGGCATGCTGTGTCCTCTCTGATCCCTGGACTCACCCCTCTTGCTCAGGTACAGCTCCCTGGCATCCCACTGGCTCTCCTTGGCCAGTACTGCCTGCCGCAACTGCAGGCCCATGTACTCCAGCAGCCTCTTCCGGGCCAGGAACGTCTCCCGTTCTGCAGGCAGCAATGCATGGAAGGGGCAGTGGGCAATCTTCCGATCCTACGGTACAGTGTGGGTCCTCATGGGGCAGCCCGGCCAGGGGCGGCTCGAGGGTGACAGAGGATCACCCCCAACCCACAGTACAGAGTGGCTTGCGAGAGGACTCCCTGGCCATCTTCAGCCCACACCCCACCACGGCACACACTCCCAGGGTGGGGCTCCTGCCCTGAGCACTCGGGTTGGCTCCAGAGAGCCTGGATCTGCCCAGGGGCAAGAACCAGAGGGCCGGGCTCCGAACAAAGTCATACCTGGTAGAATCTGAAGTAACCGTAGTCCACCACGGTGCCCACAGCCACCTTGTCGCCTTGGGTGAGCGTCACAGGCGTCAGGACATCTGCCCCGTGGTTAATGAGCCGGTCGATCTGTGGAACACACAACACGTCAGGCAGGCAAAGCCACCCTGGGGCCGGCCATGTCCACAGCAGCCCCACACTGAGCGGGCCTCAAAGCCCACTGCTTCCTGAGCCTCGGCTAGAAGGCGGTTTGAGAGGCTCCAAGGATGCCAGCAGCAGGGCTGCCACCACCTGCACCCTACAAGCAAAGCATCCTCCCGGCGTGTGAGGCAGCAAAGAGGGCCTGCCTTACACAACCACCAAGCCCCCCCCCAGCCAGCCCTGCTTTGGGATTACCACCCAGCCCCACCCCGCCCCACCATCCACGTGATCCCACGTGGCCCCGCTCCCACAGGGGGCTGTAAGTGGTGTAAAGGCAAAGGCCAGGCAAGTGTTACTCCTCACTGTATCTAGACGATGCTCACTGCACGCACCGGAGTGTGGGCATGGGCATAGGTCACGTGGGGGGGGTGTGCATGGCTGTATGTGGGCACTGTGGCCAGCGTCTGTGCATGCATGAATATGTGCACTGTGCACAACTTCTGGACCACAGCCACGCACAATGTGTGCCTACCTGAGAGGGGAGGGAAGAGCGGCTCTGCCTGGCCCTGAAGAATGGATTGTTTTTAAGAAGGTGTTTTTTTTTTAGCTTTGTAACATGTTCTTCACTGTGCAGAACATTTTTAGTCTGGTGCGGTCTCATTTGCCAATATTTGCAGAGCCCCTACATCTGTCCTCAGGAACTCCCTCCTGTACCTAACCGTTCCAGTGCTTCTCCCCACCCCCCTTCCTGTAGTCATTCCCAGGTTTCAGGTCTGACCTTGAGGTGTTGGGTCCATTTTGAATTGGTAGTATTGGCAGTAGAACAAGGTGAGGGACAGGACTCCAGTTTCAGTCTTCTGCATCTGGATGGCTAGTTTCCTCAACACCATTTGTTGAAGAAGCTGTCTTTTTTCCAACATACATTTCTGGCTCCCTTGTTACATATCAGAGGTAGGTATGTGGGTTTATTTCTGGGTGTTCTAGCCTGGCCCATTGGTCTTCAGGCTTGTTTCTTGTGCCAATATCATACTGTTTTTTGTCACTATGGCTCTGTAGTAAAGTTTGAGGTCTGGAATTGTGATACCTTCAGCATTTCTTGTTTTGCCTAGGATTGCTTTGGCTATTTGTGGCCTTTTGTGCTTCCATATACATTTTTGGACTATTTTCTCTATGTTAAAAAGACAGCCTACAGAAGGGGAGAAGATCTTTGCCAGCTATATATCTGACTAAGGCCCAAGAGAATATATAAAGAGCTCAAAAAAATTAATTCCCCAAGGAAACAAGAACCTGATTAATAAATGGGCAAAGGAGCAAAACAGAAACTTCTCAAAAGTAGTAAAGATACACAACAAATGCATGAAGAAATATTCAACATCCCTGGCCATAAAGGAACTGTAATCAAAACAACACTGGCATTCCATCCAGTAAGATTGCCTTGCATCAAGAATATTAGCAACAAACACTGATGAGGACAGAGGGAGGAAGAGGAACCCTGTCACAGCTGGGCGAGGTGGAGGTGGAAACTAGTCAGTCACTCTGGAACGTGGTTTGGAGATTCTTCAGAAAACTAAACATGGAACTATCGTAGGATCCAGCAATACCACTCCTGGACACAGACCCAGAACACTGCAAGTCAGGACATGAATAAGGACACTTGCACGCTCAGGTTCATTGCTGCATTATTCACTATAGCCAAATTATGGAAACAGCCAAGATGACCTACAACAGATCAAAGGATCAATGTATGGTTTGAGTCCCAGCACTGCAATTTTTAACAAAGAAAAGCAAGAGGCAGATGGCGTGGGGCTGGGCTTTGGTGGCCAGCAGCATGGGGGGTGGGGGGGTGAGAGGGGTGGGCAGGCGGCATGGCCTTCCCTGCGCAGAGCCGGTGGGGACAGGGCCCTGGGCCCAGGGCACAGGGTTGACAAGGGCAGGGCACCTGGGCCTTAGTACTGGTGCTGGTCTTCACCCTCAGCAGCCTCTGCTCACGTTGCCTCCAACAACCCAACAGCAGCTCCTGCCCAACTGTAACCCTCTGCCCCCCACATCTGCACATCTGCCCCCCACATCTGCACCTCTGTACCCCACATCTACACCTCTGTACCCCACATCTACACCTCTGTACCCCACATCTGCACTTCTGAACCCCACATCTGCACCTCTGTAACCCACATCTACAACTCTGTACCCCACATCTACACCTCTGTACCCCACATCTGCACCTCTGTACCCCACATCTGCACCTCTGTACCCCACATCTGCACCTCTGTACCCCACATCTACGCCTCTGCCCCCCACATCTGCACCTCTGTACCCCACATCTGCACCTCTGTACCCCACATCTACACCTCAGCACCCCACATCTACACCTCTGCACCCCACATCTACACATCTGTACCCCACATCTGCACCTCTGTACCCCACATCTACACCTCTGTACCCCACATCTGCACCTCTGTACCCCACATCTGCACCTCTGTACCCCACATCTACACCTCTGTACCACACATCTACACCTCTGTACCCACATCTACACCTCTGTACCCCACATCTGCACCTCTGTACCCCACATCTACACCTCTGTACCCCACATCTGCACCTCTGTACCCCACATCTACACCTCTGTACCCCACATCTGTACCTCTGTACCCCCACATCTACACCTCTGTACCCCACATCTGCACCTCTGCCCCCACATCTACACCCCTGTACCCCACATCTACACCTCTGTACCCCACATCTGTACCTCTGTACCCCACATCTGTGCCTCTGTACCCCACATCTACGCCTCTGCCCCCCACATCTGCGCCTCTGTACCCCACATCTACACCTCTGTACCCCACATCTGCACCTCTGTACCCCACATCTACACCTCTGTACCCCACATCTGCACCTCTGTACCCCACATCTACACCTCTGCCCCCCACATCTGCACCTCTGTACCCCACATCTACACCTCTGTACCACACATCTACACCTCTGCACACCACATCTACACCTCGGTACCGCACATCTACACCTCTGTACCCCACATCTGCACCTCTGTACCCCACATCTACACCTCTGTACCGCACATCTATACCTCTGTACCCCACATCTGTACCTCTGTACCCCCACATCTACACCTCTGTACCCCACATCTGCACCTCTGCCCCAACATCTACACCTCTGTACCCCACATCTACACCTCTGTACCCCACATCTACACTTCTGTACCCCCACATCTACACCTCTGTACCCCACATCACCTCTGTACCAAACATCTACACCTCTGTACCCCACATCTACACCTCTGTACCCCACATCTGCACCTCTGTACCACATCTACACCTCTGTACCCCACATCTACACCTCTGTACCCCACATCTACACCTCTGTACCCCACATCTGCACCTCTATACCCCACATCTACACCTCTGTACCCCACATCTGCACCTCTGTACCCCACATCTGCACCTCTGCCCCCACATCTACACCTCTGTACCCCACATCTACACCTCTGCACCCGACATCTACACCTCTGTACCCCACATCTGCACCTCTGTACCCCACATCTGCACCTCTGTACCCCACATCAGCACCTCTGTACCCCACATCTACACCTCTGGACCCCACATCTACACCTCTGCACCCCACATCTACACCTCTGCCCCCCACATCTACACCTCTGCACCCCACATCTGCACCTCTGTACCCCACATCTACACCTCTGTACCCCACATCTGCACCTCTGTACCCCACATCTGCACCTCTGTACCCCACATCTACGCCTCTGCCCCCCACATCTGCACCTCTGTACCCCACATCTGCACCTCTGCCCCCCACATCTGCACCTCTGTACCCCACATCTGCACCTCTGTACCCCACATCTGCACCTCTGTACCCCACATCTACACCTCTGTACCCCACATCTGTGCCTCTGTACCCCACATCTACGCCTCTGTACCCCACATCTGCACCTCTGTACCCCACATCTGCACCTCTGTACCCCACATCTGCACCTCTGCCCCCCCATCTACACCCCTGTACCCCACATCTACACCTCTGTACCCCACATCTGTACCCCTGTACCCCACATCTGTGCCTCTGTACCCCACATCTGCACCTCTGTACCCCACATCTGCACCTCTGTACGCCACATCTACGCCTCTGCCCCCCACATCTGCGCCTGTGTACCCCACATCTGCACCTCTGTACCCCACATCTGCACCTCTGTACCCCACATCTACACCTCTGCCCCCCACATCTACACCTCTGTACCCCACATCTGCACCTCTGTACCCCACATCTGCACCTCTGTACCCCACATCTACACCTCTGCAGCCCACATCTACACCTCTGTACCCCACATCTACACCTCTGTACCCCACATCTGTACCTCTGTACCCCACATCTGCACCTCTGCCCCCACATCTACACCTCTGTACCCCACATCTACACCTCTGCACCCCACATCTACACCTCTGTACCCCACATCTGCACCTCTGTACCCCACATCTACACCTCTGTACCTCACATCTACACCTCTGTACCCCACATCTACACCTCTGTACCCCACATCTGCACCTCTGTACCCCACATCTACACCTCTGCACCCCACATCTACACCTCTGTACCCCACATCTACACCTCTGCACCCTACATCTACACCTCTGTACCCCACATCTGCACCTCTGTACCCCACATCTGCACCTCTGTACCCCACATCTGCACCTCTGTACCACACATCTGCACCTCTGTACCCCACATGTACGCCTCTGTACCCCACATCTACACCTCTGCCCCCCACATCTACACCTCTGTACCCCACATCTACACCTCTGTACCCCACATCTACACCTCTGTACCCCACATCTACACCTCTGCACCCCACATCTGTACCCCTGTACCCCACATCTGCACCTCTGTACCCCACATGTACGCCTCTGTACCCCACATCTACACCTCTGCCCCCCACATCTACACCTCTGTACCCCACATCTACACCGTCCCCCTCACCTCCTCCCAGTCTGTCTCCACTGTCCCCCGATCCTGGGAGCGAACTACCACCAAGAGAGCTGGTCTGTGTCGCCTGTGCAGTGTTCTAGGCCTGTGCCCAGGAGGCCTTCCCCTCCCCAGCACACTGCTGACCTCCTGCAGCGTGCACACGGCACGCTCATCCCCTCCTCAAGCCTCCTGAGAGGCTAGTACTGGTGTCTGGCTGGGGTGACCTAGGCTGGGACACTGTCTTAAGACGGCCTGCAGCCGCTCCCTCCCCTCCTCCTCCCCTCCCCTCCCCTCCCCTCTCCTTCCCCCTCTCCTCCCCTCCCCTCCCTCTCCCCTCCCCTCCCCCTCCCCCTCCCACCCCCTCTCCCTCTCCTCCCCTCCCCTTCCCCCTCCCCTCCCCTCCCCCTCCCCCTGCCCTCCCTCCTGCCCTCCCCCTCTCACCAGGGTGATCTTGTTGTCTGTGCTTCTCTGGTTCTCATAGGCTATGTCACAGGTGACACACAAGGCGTTGCCCAAGCCTCTGGTCAGGGGCAGGTTGGGGTCGGCTCCCTTGGACAGGAGTTCCTTCACGACCTGGAAACAGCAGCCATCACGCCACTCCCAGAGGCCACCCCAGCCTGGCATGGCTTCCACCCACGGATGCGTGCCACCCTTCCCACACAGGCCATGCTCCTTGGAGAGGAGCCAGGCCCAGTGTTCCGACAGCCCTGCTTCCATCCCGCCTTCCCTCCTGAAGCAGACCTGGCCCTGAGCAGGGTCTGGCACAGGGTCAGGAGCCCCGGGGCCTGGCCCCTGTGACTGAGCTGCCCGCTGGTGAGGGCCAGCCCCCCCCCCCCCCCCCCCCGCTAGAAGATGAGATCCTCGTGAGGCCTTTGGTTTGTTAAAAACCTACTGCCCACATGTTGCCTGTTTGCCCTTAGCAGGGGCTCAATAAATAGTTCAATGAGGGATGAGTGGGTGAGTAGAATCCGCATTGACCAGTGGATGGGAAAGCAGATGGATGGGTGGATGAAGGATGGGCAGGTGTGTGGCTGGTGAGAAGGTGGACAGATGGACAGGTGAACAGGTGGTAACCAACCACAGCAAATCCCAGGCGCCGACGTGGGGGAGGTGCCCGGGTTTCCGACGCAGAACACGCTCACCAGGTCGTTCCCGCTGGCAATGGACAGGGAGAGCGGGGAGTGGCCGCTCCACAGCAGGTTCGGATTCGCTCTGTGGGTGAGGAGGAGGCGAACCACGTCCCTGGCACACTGGGGAGGAAGGAAGACAGAGTGGGGCACGTCAAAGCAGCGCCCCTCCCAGGAGCCCACGCGCCATGGGCAGCAAGGCACTGGGGCCCATCCCAGCGCTGCGCCCCTCCCAGGAGCCCTTCCTAGCGCTGCGCCCCTCCCAGGAGCCCGCGCGCCATGGGCAGCAAGGCACTGGGGCCCGTCCCAGCGCTGCGCCCCTCCCAGGAGCCCGCGCGCCATGGGCAGCAAGGCACTGGGGCCCATCCCAGCGCTGCGCCCCTCCACCAGTGCTGCCCTGCAGAAGCTGCTCCTCCCCACACGGGGCGCAGCCTCAAGCCCAGGAGGAAGGACATGGATTGGACCCGCCCGTTGACCAGGGGTGGTCAGGAACAAGCGGCCTGACTCAGGGCAAGAGTGGTAGGTGGAACGTGCCCCTTTGCTGGGGCTCGGGGTTCCCGCAGGTGCCCCAGAAGTGTCCCCACTGTGGAGACGCATCTCTGTCTCCTCTGTAGTGACACGGTGGGTACTCTGGACATGACAGACTTTTGAGGCCAGGGCCCCCAGTTCCCTGTTGGACCCCTTCCCTATCACTCCAGGACTAGACCAGGGTGGGGTCAGCAGAACTCTGTTGAGGGCTCCTGGAGGGGTTCCCCCTCTCTCCTGCTGGAACACAGATGCCATGGCTGGATGACGGCAGACTTCCTGCCCTCACCACTGGCACCTTTCCTGGTGAACGAACTGTCCTGAACTTAGTGTCAATATCCCATCAATGTCTCCTAGCTTCCCCACTGGAGGACCCTGAGTCTGTGGATAGAAAGGGGCAGGCCAGAGGCCTCGGTGCTCTGCGGACCCATTCCTAATGTGGGTTCCTGGCACCCCTGGTGGCCCCTCCCCCTCCTCTCCCTCCTTTCCCTGCCCTACAAGGAGCCAGATGGGCCCCACGCCACTCCTCTCCCCTCTCTCTGCTTCCCACACCCCCACACCTGACACACATACTGGGCTCTCACTGCAGACAAACTGGCCATCTCAGGCTGGGAGGCTGGGCACTATTTCATAGGTAAACTGAGGCTAGATTTTTCTTTGTGCTCCTCAGCCACTAGGCCAGGTATACAGGCCACTGCCTGTCAAGGCTGAGACCTGGCTTTCTGCCCCATTCCCATGCCTACAGTGGGCAGCGCAGGGCAGTTCCAGCACAGTGGCACCATGATAGCCCAGGGTGACACACTCAGATCAGCTCGTGTGTGTGTGTGTGTGTGCGTGCACACGCTTGTGTTCTTGTTGGTGATCATGCATGTGCTCGTGATCATGCATGTGCTCATGTTCATGCATGTGTTCATGTTCATGTGGATGCCCTGGCCATGTGTGTGCTTATGTTCATGTGTTTATGCTCATATATGTGCTTATGCTTTGAACGTCTGTGCTCATGTGTGTGCTCATGTGTGTGCTCATGCTCATGTGTGTGCCCGTGCTCATGTGTGTGCCCATGATCATGTGTGTGCACATGCTCATATATGTGCCTGTGCTAATTTGTGTGTACCTGTGCTCATGTGTGTGCCTGTGCTCATGTGTGTGCCTATGCTCATGTGTGTGCCTGTGCTCATGCGTGTACCTGTGCTCATGTGTGTGCCTATGCTCATGTGTGTGCCTGTGCTGATGTGTGTGCTCATGCTCATGTGTATGTCTGTGCTCATGTGTGTGCTCATGCTCATGTGAGTACCTGTGCTCATGTGTGTGCCTGTGCTCATGCGTGTACCTGTGCTCATGTGTGTGCCTATGCTCATGTGTGTACCTGTGCTCATGTGTGTGCCTGTGCTCATGTGTGTGCTCATGCTCATGTGTGTGCTCATGCTCATGTGTGTGCCTGTGCTCATGTTTGTGCCTGTGCTCATGTGTGTGCCTGTGCTCATGTGTGTGCCTATGCTCATGTGTGTGCCTGTGCTCATGTGTGTACCTGTGCTCATGTGTGTACCTGTGCTCATATGTGTCCCTGTGCTGATGTGTGTGCTCATGCTCATGTGTGTGCTCATGCTCATGTGAGTACCTGTGCTCATATGTGTCCCTGTGCTGATGTGTGTGCCTGTGCTCATGTGTGTGCTCATGCTCATGTGAGTACCTGTGCTCATGTGTGTGCCTATGCTCATGTGTGTGCCTGTGCTCATGTGTGTGCCTATGCTCATGTGTGTACCTGTGCTCATGTGTGTGCCTATGCTCATGTGTGTGTCTGTGCTCATGTGTGTGCCTGTGCTCGTGTGTGTGCACATGCTCATGTGTGTGCCTGTGCTGATGTGTGTGCCTGTGCTCATGTGTGTGCTCATGCTTATGTGTGTACCTATGCTCGTGTGTGCCTGTGCTCATGTATGTGCCTGTGCTCATGTGTGTGCTCATGCTCATGTTTGTGTCTGTGCTCATGTTTGTGTCTGTGTTCATGCGTGTGCTCATGCTCATGTGTGTGCCTGTGCTCATGTGTGTCTGTGCTCATGTGTGTACCTGTGCTCATGTGTGTACCTGTGCTCATGTGTGTCTGTGCTCATGTGTGTACCTGTGCTCATGTGTGTACCTGTGCTCATGTGTGCCTGTGCTCATGTGTGTGCACATGCTCATGTTTGTGTCTGTGCTCATGTGTGTGCCTGTGCTCATGTGTGTGCCTGTGCTCATGTGTGTGCCTGTGCTCATGTGTGTACCTGTGCTCATATGTGTCCCTGTGCTCATGTGTGTGCCTGTGCTCATGTGTGTGCTCGTGCTTATGTGTGTACCTGTGCTCATGTGTGTGCCTGTGCTCATGTGTGTGCTCATGCTTATGTGTGTACCTGTGCTCATGTGTGTGCCTGTGCTCATGTGTGTGCCTGTGCTCATGTGTGTGCTCATGCTCATGTGTGTGCCCACGTAGATGTATTTATGCTCATATATGTACTCGTGGTCATGTGTGTGCCCATGTTTATGTGTGTGCTCACACATATGCTCATGCACCTGTGTGTGCTTGTGCTCATGTATTTGTATTCATGTGTGTTAGTTTACTCATGTTTGCCCATGTTCACTTGATCATGTTCATGTGTTAGTCCTTGCACAGTGTTCTTGTGTTCGTGTGTGCTCATGCTTATGTGTATGCCCATGCTCATGCATTTGTGCTCACGTGTGTTCATGTGCACTCATGCTCATGTATGTGCTTCTGTTCATGTGTTCTCATGTGCCTGTGTGTGCTCATTATCATCTGTTTGTGTTTGTGTTCATGGTGTTAGTGTGCTCGTGTGTGCCCATGTTGTGCCCATGCTCATGTGTGTGCCTGTCCTGTTGCTCACGTGTGTTCATGTGTGTGCTCGTGTGTGTGGGTTTGCACTCACATGCAGCACTGGTCCACACACTCCAGAATATGCATGAAGCATGGTGTTCTCCATTCATTTGAAGCTGCTGTCTTTTCTTCCATCTGGAAGCCCAAGATGTAGCCCATTTCACTGACCATGACCCCTACCAAGACAGCTCTCTGTTTGGGAGTCCCAGACCTGGACCCCACGGGAGGAGCCAGGATGTCAAGGGTGCCCATCCCCCATGCCAGCTGCTGGTTCCTGCTGAGAGTAGCACACACTGAGGCACACACACATGCATGCATGCATCGTGCAGGCATGCACAGGTCACCCAGCCATGCTCTTGTAGTATGCATGCACACGTTCTTAGACACTAGAACCCTGGTGGTCCCAGGACCCACCGCCCTGCTCTGCATCCCCCTGTGGCTTGGTTTTTGAATGAGAACCCACATTTCCCAAGAGGTAACCCCAATCACAGAGCAACCTGACCAGCCCGGTGGGGCCCAGGCCGCTCACCTTCCTGCTGTCCTCCCGCTCACAGGCCACGTGCAGAGCTGTCCTGCCGCCCTCCTCAGGGACACATGTGGGAACTGCTGTGTAGTAGCTGCTGGGCGGGCCCAGCTCGTTGTTGAGCTTCAGGCTCGAGGGCAGTAGGTCCAACTGTGCACAGATGCAGTGGTCAGGAGCTGGCTCCCAGCCCCTCCTCCGACCTTCTGAATGGGAGAACCACCCTGCCTGGCCCCGGTGCCGTGATCCTCCCCCCACGATCCTGCCCCAGTGCCCAGTCTCTGCGATCCTGCCCTGAGCCAGTCAGACTCCCACAGCGGTGGGAGCGTCAGAGCCCTCCCAGCCGGCTCCCCACACATGCACACAGGTGCACGTCCTCAAAGTCTCTTCACGCCCAGGGAGCCACGAGGAGGAAAATGAGGGTGCATGGTTGCCTCTCTTCCTCTTGAAAGAGCCAGGAGGGCTCCCTAGTGGAGGCGGTCTAGCTGGTCTTACAGGTGGAAGAGGCTGAGCTACAGACAGGAGTGCCACCAGCCCCCATGCCCTTGCCCGTGCACCACTGTGCCCCACCCAGGCATCAAGGGGTCCTGCCCTGCTCCCAGCCTCCTGGACCTGGTCAGTCTGGTTAGACCAACATGCAACCTGGGAGCCGTGGGGCCTCTACACCCAGGGCCCTGCCTGTCCTACTGTTCCAGCACACAGCCTTGTGAGGGAAGGGGCTAGGCCAAGCCAGCAGCCTCTTTCCAGGGGCAAAGACACAGGACCAGCCTGGCAACTGTCCCTGACAGCCTCCAGCATTGCCGCCAAGTCTGGAGCCAGGAGCCTGCTTGGCTCCTCCACCTTCGGAGAGCAGTGAGTGAGAGAAAGAGCAGGGAGGAGCGTGAGAGGCCAGCCCTTGCCTACAGGAGGCAGCGGGGAGGCTGGACAGGGCCGTGGGCAGAGCTGCCTGACCCTGTGGGCAGCAAAGCTCCAGCCTGAGAGGCCAGCCTTCTGAAGGCATGAGGTGGGCTGCTTACAAAGTGTCCTGTGGACACCCATCTTCAGCAAGCCCACCAAGCTGCCTGAGTAAACAGGTCTTGGCTTACTGATTTCAATCGTTTTTATCCTACATCTCTAAAAGTATGTGGGCTGAGCCTCCTCACACAGCTGACCCACACTCTCCGCTGTGCCCTATTCCAAGAGGGGCCCCATGAGGTCAGCTGAGTGCAGGAGCTGCACCTGAGAACATCATGGCAGTGTCCAGCCCAGCCTTAGAGCCTCTGCCCCCCTCCCCTCCCCTCCCCTCCCCCCCCTCCTTTCCCCTCCCATCCTTTGGTTCCCTCCCCCACCCAACCGGATGCCCCAGCAGCACACCTTGCTGGCCTTGTACACCTCATCCTGGTCAGTTGCCTTGGCATCCACATTGGTGATGGCATGGAGCAGCAGCTCAGTAATCTTGACTCCTTCCTCCCCAGGAAGGGAAACGGCAATGTGGAGTGGAGTCAGGGACCGCAGCTGCAGAGCAAGCACAGGTGAGGGTGGGTGGGGCCAGGCATGTGGGTGGGGCCAGGCAGGTGGGGAGCCAGGCAGGTAGGTGGGGAGCCAGGCAGGTGGGTAGAGCCAGGCAGGTGGGTGGGGAGCCAGACATGTGGGTGGGGAGCCAGGCATGTGGGGGGGAGCCAGGCAGGTGGGTGGAGCCAGGCATGTGGGGGGAGCCAGGCATGTGGGGGGAGCCAGGCAGGTGGGTGGGGCCAGGCAGGTGGGTGGGCAGGTTGGTAGGGCCAGGCAGGTGGGTGGAGCCAGGCAGGGGTGGGGCCAGGCAGGTGGGTGGGGCCAGCTAGGTGGGTGGGGGCAGGCAGGTGGGTGGGGCCGGGCAGGCAGGTGGGTGGAGCCAGGCAGGTGGGGAGCCAGGCAGGTGGGTGGAGCCAGGCAGGGGTGGGGCCAGGCAGGTGGGTGGGGCCAGGTAGGTGGGTGGGGCCAGGCAGGTGGGTGGGGCCAGGCAGCTGGGTAGGGCCAGGCAGGGGGTGGGAAGCCAGGCAGGTGGGTGGGGCCAGGCAGGTAGGTAGGGCCAGGCAGGGGTGGGGCCAGGCAGGGGGGTGGGGAGCCAGGCAGGGGGTGGGGCCAGGCAGGTGCGGGGCCAGGCAGTTGCTCAGGGCAGGGACTTCACTGGCTTGCCCATGCGCCTCCCTCTCCACTCCTGCCAGCCCCTCCTTCAATGGGGAAGGTAGCAGCCAGGTGCCATTAATGAATAGCAACTGAAAGCTCTCACACACCACATGCCCCACGTATCCAGTGCCCTGCACAGGAACACCAGCCTGAACCAGCAGCTCCGTCATCACCTTCCTCTAGCAAAAGCTCCTTCCTGTCCCTTTAAGGCCCTGGCTCAGACACCAACACCCTGACAGCCGTGTAGCACCTGACTGCCATCATCACCACAGCATCCTGCTGACCATTGCTAAGATCCCTGAAGGGCTGTCCAGGAGCCCCAGCAGCTTAGACATGGGTGCAGGCCCTCCAGGGGAGAACCATGGCAGACAGAGCCTGACCAGAGCAGGCAGCAGACTCGCTGACCCCAGCTTGCCTCCTTCCAGCCCCTCCTCATGTGACCCTGCTCACACAGGAAGGCACCCCTGCGGCAAAGCAACCTAAGGCTTCCTACGTGGGTATGCAGGCAGTCTGAGGAGAGGGAAAGACCCCATAGGGAAATGAGCAAGGGAAGAACAGCTACATGCAAGACCACCCACAATCCCTGACCCCTCACAAGTGAGCACAGACGTGGGATCCGGGGCAATAGGAAGGGCAGACTTCAGCCTGACAGTGACTCTTGCTTTACCTCAACAGCCCAATGCCCAGCCAAGAGCCGCAGCTCCAGCACTGGTGGAGGGTAGCGCAGCAGCCACCACGAAAGAGGCCCAGCAGGGGCCTGGGGCACCGCCCACCCTCCCAGGCACAGCGGGCGGGAATGAGAGGCGCCACCCAGGGCCTACCTGAGGGGGGTACTGGATGTCCGTCCTGGCCCCACTCTCCAGAAGCAGCTTCACCCCTTCCACGTCCCCAGCCTTCACAGCAAGGAAGAGGGCCTGCATGGGCACTTGGCACAGGTTGGGGTCAGCACCACGGCACAGCAGCAGCTGGATGGTCATCCACAGGTTCCGGTGCCTGCAGGGGCCAGGGGAAGGGAGGTGCAGAGGGCTTCCAACACCAGTATTAGGAAGGGAGGAGCTGCAGACGCTCCCCAAATGCCCTGAGCCTCAACACGCAGCCTTTGCTGGAAACAGGCAGAGACACCTCTTCCAAGCCTGGTCCCCACCCTGGGAGGCCAGCCACATTGCCCCTGCAGCAGCCAGGCCACAGTCTGATCCTGCTGGGGCCCTGCTGGGCTTCAAACCCGGCAACCTGGGAGAAGTGAGCAGTGGGGGGCGGGGTGGCAAACACCCCTTCTTCTTGGGGTGGGTAGGAGACAGTGGCAGAGAACTGGCCCTGTGACTGGCAGGTGGTGTCTCTCACACCCCACGGCCTTACCACACACATACGCGCGCACACCTGCACACTCACATGCTGAGAGTGGACTCACACCCAGTGCTCCACCCAGGCTGGTCAGAGCAGGTGCCCCGGCCTCTTGGCGGTACTGCGAGGCAGAGCTGAACACCCTGCACACACCCCTCCAGTCCAGCACCAGCAACTTACTCGTGCATGGACTGCGCCATTTTCCTCATGGTCCCCTTGTCGGGAAAAGCGGGGGCCTGCAGCATGCTGTACGCCTCGGCGCTCTTCTCCAGGATGTCCCTGGACAGCTGGATGGTATAGTTGCGCACACACAGGGAGGACTCGAAGTTTGTCTCGGTGGTGCTGTATACGGTGCTGATGTTCCCCTCCGACTCCTCCACCACCTGCTCCAGGTCACCGAGGCTGCGCTTCGAGGAGGAGTCCCACCGCAGCATGCTGCTGGGGGACTGGTCCTCCAGGCCGCTCGAGACGGCTGCCTTCCGTTCTTCACTGATCGAGACCATGTCGTTCGCCTCGTAAATGGACTCCAGGTTCAGGATGGAGTATTTTGAGGCACTTAGGAATGTGGGAATTTCCTTTGGAAGGCACCCAGGAGAGTATCATTAGCGGAAGGAAGAAACTGAAGTACATCCCTACACCCATGGCCTGGAGCTACCACCTCCAAAGTCCACACGCCTCAGACCAAGAGGGACCCATTTGGAGTCTGGCATGGACCTCGGGCTGAGCAGACATGGGAGCCGTGCCCCTATGGTTCCTGGGCCCACAAAATGAGCCGTGGGGTGGGTTCAAGGAGAGACGGGTAGCAAATCTCACTCCTGTTCTTTGGCAGCACACAGAAAGAGCGTCCTGGTTTGGATAATTGAAGCTAAATAAAATACATTTTTAAAATTGATCCCACCTAGCCGGGCGCTGGTGGCTCACGCCTGTCATCCTAGCTACTCAGGAGGCTAAGATCTAAGGATCGCGGTTCAAAGCCAGCCAGGGCAGGAGAGACCGTGAGACTCCTATCTCCAATAAACCACCAGAAAACCGGAAGTGGCGCTATAGCTCAAGTGGTAGAGCGCTCGCCTTGAGCTGAAGAGCTGAGGGACAGCGCCCAGGCCCAGAGTTCAAGCCCCACGACCAACAAAAAAAAAAAAAAAAAAAAATTGATCCCACCTGCTTCACTTAAGTGGCCACTGTAGCTTGTATTACATTTCTATCCAGTGGCGCTGCTCTTGGTAGGCTCCCAGTTTTGAACCGTGGTTCATAAAGTGCCGTCCCCTTGACTAAGTGCTTCAGGTTCCTCTGGAACTAGTTAGAATTGCAGATTCTCAGTCTTGCTTTGCGGGGCGGGGGCTCTGTGTGGATGCGGACCTTGGCAGTTGTGTGGGAAGGGTGGGCTCGGGCCCTGAGCTGTCATGCATGCGTCCTAAGGGACACTCATGGCACTGGATTCCAGATTCCTTAGGGAGTTCTTGCATTCCATGCTTCTACTCCCTTCCCCAATGGCCTATCTGCCTAGCCACCCTGTATGAGGCCTGGGCCACACTGGGGGTGGGGTGGGGGGAGGTCGGTGGATGGTGCGGGTGTGGCGGTGAACAAGGCTGACCTGGGGCACCGTCCTCTCTGCAATGTTGGGCTTGAAGGCCTTGCTAGGGTAGTAGAGGAGGAAGCACATGCTAAGCGGGGTGAGGCCCTCATCGGAGCACTTGTTCACATCAGCCCCAAAGTCCAGGAGCAGGTTGACAATGTCATGATGAGAATGCACCTGGAGAAAGACATGCTGGCCTCACCAAGGCAGCCGCTGGCTCCGCGGGGGTGTGGAGGGCAGGTGGCGCTGGTGCCACTTCCTGAGGCTCCACTGGGGCTGGTGGCCACATCCCCCGGGCTCCAGCTTGTGAGGACACAGGGTCCAGCCAGCAGCGGGGGCAGAAGCAGCAGCATGCCCTGCCCTGAGCCCAGCTCTCCATGGGGCCTTGAGTCTCACCCTGGGGGTGTGGGCTTGGCTGGGTAGCGGGGCGCAGGTGTGCCCACCAGCAGCCCCGTGATCCTGGCGCGGGGTGGTGAAGGGGCTTCACTCTGAGGGTGTGCCCCACGAGGGCTCTGAGGGCCGCATTTCTGCGGGCTCTGGAGGGAGGGGCGGGGCTTACAGCAGCCGCAGCCAGCACAGTGTAGCCCTTGGAGTCGGCCACGTCGACGTGGACCAGGTTGTCCTTCAGCATCCCGTAGATCCAGTCATAGTCGCCGGCCTCGGCCTTCAGGATCATCTCCTTGGAGAGCCGCTCCTTGGGACCCCTGTGAGCAAAGCCGCTGCGGTTCCCCTGGAGGATGGCGTCCATGCTCCAGCTGCTGTGTGCCTTCTTGTGCCTGGCAACATGACAGGCGTCCGTGGCATTAGTCCGGGCTCTGGCCTTCCCCACAGGTCCTGTGGGGGAAGCTACGCAGAAGGCTGATATTGGGTGTGAGACCAGCTCTGGCATACACGTGAGACCCCATCTCAACCAATAGCTGGATGTGCCTGCCATCCCAGCCTTGGAGGAGGCTGAGAAGGACCATGGTTCCAGAGTAGCCTGGATGCCGTAAGACTCAGCACAAAGAAGGTAGGCACAGTGGTGAATATCTGTCACCCCAGCTATGACAGGAAGGCCAAAATGGGAAGAATGTGGTCCAGGCATGGACCCAGGCAAAAAGTAAAAGGAGGAGGAGGAGGAGGAGGGGGGGGGGGGAGGAGGAGGAGGAGGAGGAGGAGGAGTATTGGCACGCGCTGATGGCTCATGCCTGTAATCCTAGCTACTCAGGAAGCTGAGATCTGAGGATCATGGTTCAAAGCCAGTCCGGGCAAGAAAGTCCATGAGATTCTTACCTCCAATAAACCACTCAAAAAACCAGAAGTGGCACTGTGGCTCAAGTGGTAGAGTGCTCGCCTTGAGGCGAAGAGCTGAGGGACAGCGCCCAGGCCCACAGTTCAAGGCCCATGACTGGAAAAGAGAAGGAGGAAGGGGAGGAGGGAGGGGAGGAGGAAGGAGAGGAGGCAGAGGAGGTGGAGGAGGAAGGGGAGGAGGGAGGGGAGGAGGAAGGAGAGGAGGAAGAGGAGGAGGAAGGGGAGGAGGGAGGGGAGGAGGAAGGGGAGGAGGCAGAGGTGGAGGAGGAGGAGGAGGAGACGGCAGCAGTGGCGGTGGCAGGGCTCAGTAGTAGAGTGACTACTTAGGAACCACAAGACTCTGAGTTGAAGCAACAGTACTGAAAGGAAAATAAGAATAGCCCAAGGGAGCTATCTTCTTAACCCTTGCTCCTCTCATTCCTCAGCCCCCACTGGCTGCCCCAAGAATCTTATTAACCTTGAGCTGCACTGTCAGCCAGTGACAGTGGGGAGCGCTCAGGCATGGAGACATGCCACAGGAAAATGTTCCGGCTCAGCATTAGCCCAGAAGGGCTGTGAGGGGTCAAACTGGATCCTGTGCATCTCTGACTTCACCAATTCAATTTATGTCTTCTTGTAAACAGTTTCCCACAACAGGGTCTTAGGGTGGGTAGGCAGCCAGCAATACATGAGTCCACAGTGCAGCACAAAGCACCAACGCTCTACTCATTTCTGCCCCTTTTTTTGTTTGAAGACCTGTGTCTTCAAGAAATCAAGAACTCATAAATTTATGCAACATGAATTCACTGAGAGCATGGACCAGCTCTCATTGATGAGGCTCTTAGTTGATGTCTGCATGATGGATGGATGGATGAATGGAGGGGATGATGTTTGCATAATGGATGGATGGATGGATGGGATGATGTCTGCATGATGGATGAGTGGATGGATGGATGGGTGGATGGGAAGATGTCTGCATGATGGATGGATCGATGGGATGACGTTTTCATGATGGATGAATGGATGGGATGTTTTCATAATGGATGAATGGGATGATGTTTGCATGATAGATGAGTGGATGGATGGATGGGTTGATGGGAAGATATTTGCATGATGGATGGATCGATAGGATGATGTTTGCATGATGGATGGATGAATGGAATGATGTTTGCATGAAGAATGGATGGGGTGATTTTTGCATGATGGAGGGATGGATGGGATGATTTTTGCATGATGGATGGATGGATGGGATGATGTCTGCATGATGGATGGATGGATGGAATGATGTTTACATGATGGATGGGATGATTTTTGCATGATGGATGGATGGATGGGATGATGTCTGCATGATGGATGGATGGATGGGTGGATGGGATGATGTTTACATGATGGATGGATGGATAGGATGATGTTTGATGATGAATGGATGGGATGATGTCTGCATAATTGATGAATGGATAATGGATGGATGGGATGATGTTTGATGATGGATCAGTGGATGAATGGGATGATGGATGAGTGGATGGATGGATGGGTTGATGGGAAAAGGTTTGCATGATGGATGGATCGATGGGATGATGTTTGAATGATGTATGGGTGGCTGGATAGATGGATGATGTTTGTACAATGGATAGATGATGGGTGGATGGATGGAAGTGTAGTTGGATGGATAGATAGATGGATGGGATATTAGCATGGTCGATAGATGATGGATGAATGGATGTGTGGTTGGATGGATGGAATGATGATTGTATGATGAGTGAATACATAGATGGTAGATGGTTGGATGGAAAAACAGGCATTTGTGCTCATATATTATTTTCTTTAAAAAAAATCCATTCCTTTATGGAAGAGGGCCTAGTACAGTGCAATCACATGCCAGACTGGGCCACATACCCATGGTGGGCCCACAGGTCCTGGCAAAGCTGAGAAATGCTTTTCTTTTCCTTTTCCTTAGCACATATTAGTCCTACAAAGGCCTCACCCTGGTGATTCACAGGCGTATCTTATAATTAGTCGGGTTAACCTCATATATTCCTCTCTCTTCCCCCCTGGTACGTGGGGGGATTGAACTCAGGAGCCACCCCTCAAGCATTCCACTATCTGAGCCATGCTTCCAGCCCTCTTTGCTTTTCAGTTTGTTTTTCAGGGACAGCCTTACACTTTTGCTCAGGCTAGCCTTAGATGGTGATCCTCCCATCTCCACCTCCTGAGCAGCTGGGGTCACAGGTGTGTGCCTACACCCCTAGCCCTTTAGTGTGTTTTTCATGGTTATTGTTTTTTTTTTGGGTCCGGTCATGGGGCCTGAACTCTGGGCCTGGGCACTGTCCCTCAGCTCTTCAGCTCAAGGCTAGCGCTCTACCACTTGAGCCACAGCGCCACTTCCGGCTTTTTTCTTTTTGCTTATGTGGTACTGAGGAATCGAACCCAGGGCCTTGAGCATGTAAGGCAAGCGCTCTACCACTGAGCCACCTTCTCAGCCCTTTCATGGTTATTTTTAAGTACTTCTACTTTAAAAAAGTTCTGTATAAAAAAAATTATGTTTTCTAAACTAGCAGTCACCTGGCCCTGGAGGACATCAGGAAGCCACCTGGGGATGTGGGGGAGGGGCCCCTACCCAAAGAGGGGACACTGGATGGAGAGAAAGATCCGCTTGATCACCTGAACTTGTAGGCTTGCTTCTGGATTTTTATCAACAGAGGTGTCTGATTTTGTATAAACCAGGGTTCTCCATCCTCGATGAATGGGGGGATTTCATTGTGGAAGACCTGGGCATCCAGCTCTCTGCGGAAAGAGTCTGGCATGGGCAGGTGCTGGTTGTCAGTTGAGTAGATGTGCATTTCTGGGGGCAGCGTGAGGTCATCACTCACAAGAAACCGCTTGTACTCATAGAAGAAGGGGTCCTGCTCCTCCGATGGGTGCCACTCCACTCTCTCCTCCTCGGAGAGACTAAGTCTCTCCTGACACTGTGTGAGGAAGGCTGAGAACTCTGGGTAGCTGAGCATGGAGAAGCTGCTGGGAATGTCCATACACAATTTGACAAGGTGCTCACGGAACCACAGGCCCACATCCTGGCAGCCATCAGGGTAAGTCTCAAAGCCTGGCCCAAACCTTTCGTCCGCTTTGTATAGCCCCTGCAAGGAGAATCCGGAGAGCCAAAAGATATACTTTGTGACAAGCTTTGCCAAAGCAGTAAAAGAAAATGTACTCCTAAGAAATATACTCATTTGTTCAACAGTTATCAAAGTGTTTGAAACACCGGGCACTGTGCCTGGCAGCAATCTCTCATGGGAGTGCAGATACCTGGAGAAGGGGAGGGTGGAAAGGGGAGGGTACAGGTAGAGGGGAAGCCTAGGACCTCTCTCAAAGGACAAAGACACAGCCAAGGCCTCCAGGGTGAAGCCCTCCCTCCCTCCTACAGGCTGAATGGTTGCCACATTGGCACTCTGAGGATTAAATGCCTCTACTTAAGGGGACATAGCTGTTGTCCTGGAAAATTGCTTTTGTTGTTTGCTTAGTTAGAGAAACTCACTAGGATCTATCCAAATCACCTAGTCTCCAGACTCATTCTTTCTAGAAGATCTAGAGTAAACGTTGCTCCTGAGAAACAAGTGAAGCTGAGTGTGGGCGGCTCATACCTGTGATCCTAACCACTCAAGAGGCTGAGAGCTGATGATCATGGTTCAAAGTCAGCCTAGGCAGAAATCAGCCTGGGACTCTGATCTCCAATGAACAACCAAAAAGCCATAGGAGGCAAGACTCAAGTGGTAGAGCACCAGCCATAAATGGAACTGAGAGGAGAGGGCCTGGATTCAAGCCCCAGCACTGGTCCTGCCCCCTCAGAAACACTATGGCCCTGCCCTGCCTCAGGAACACACCCAGGCCACGCGCCGGGAACACGGAGTCTCCTCACCTGGAAGAGCCTTGTCTTCATGTACATGGTACCATAGCCCTCTCGTTGGCTGAGGTAAAACATGCCAGTGAAACTGGAGCCATCTGGCCACGTGTAAGTGCCCACACCATGACAGTGGTCCCGGTAAAACTGCCCTCGATAGACCTGGAGGGGGAGAGGTCAGCAGGCCTGGTGTTGGGGTGAGCTCCTGCCCTCGGGCACCCCCGCCCCTGGTAGCCACCAGGCTGGCAGTGACAGAGGCTCTCATGGCCAGCAGGTACAGGACTAACTAGCGAGGTGGCCAAGGTGGCCAGGGTCCCGCCCCATTCAGGAGACAGGGAGTTAAGAACCACTTGGAGGCTGTGGCAGGAACACGCCAGCACCAGGCTAGGTTTGAACAGAACCCAGGCCCCCGTGCAGGTGACAGCAGTCAGACTGGCAGGGACGTGGTCTGGCTGGGAACTCAGCACAGAGACTCACGGTGGGCCTCTGAGCCAGCCCCCCCCCCCCCACACACACACGTAGGCAAGTGTCAGAGGTGCCCTCTCCTGAAGCCACAGCGGGGAAAGAAGAGGATGCCTGGGACTGGGAATGTGGCCTGGTGGTAGAGTGCTTGCCTAGCATGCATGACGCCCCAAGTTCGATTCCTCAGTAGCACATACACAGAAAAAGCCGGAAGTGGCACTGTGGCTCAAGTGGTAGAGTGCTAGCCCTGAGCAAAAGAAGCTCAAGAACAGCACCCAGGCCCAGAGTTTCAAGCCCCATCACACACACACACACACACACACACACACACACACACACACACACACACACACACACACACACACACACACACACACACACACACACACACACACACACTCCAGGCAATGCCAGGGCAGAGTCATTTACTCAGGCAAATGGTGCAGGTGAGGGGGACATACCGGCATCTACGATTGGTGGCCCTAGATACAACACAGGCCCAGCTTCACTGTGCACTTAGCTACTGTACACAGCCAAGGGCACCAGGAGGCACAAAGAGCTCTGGCTGTGGGGTCCCTGGTTCAGACCCTTGACACCACTAAATCTTCACTGAGGGACTCAGCATGCTCTAGTGAGGGTGCGAGAACATGTCTTTGTTTCTTTCTGTCATTTGATCTTAAATACGAGGCAGTTTCAGCTTGCGCTCATAATTTGCTAATTTTCAAACATGTGCCTAGAATAAAACCCATCTTCTTGAGTCACAGCTTCCCAAACCTCACCCCCCTCCCCAGATCCTCAGGTAACCAGGGCTAGCTGAGGGGGTCTGCAGGGACTTTCTTCTGGCCCTGTGATGTAGAGAGGGCAGGCAGCCTACCAGCCCTGGGATGGATGCTAAGGTTCCTATCATGTGGCTCTTAGGAGAAGGCCGGTCCCCAGGCCCCGGGGAGGATGCGAGGCAGCAAGGGAAGACACCTACCTCTCCTGTGGGCCAAGAGAACTCTCCGTATCCAAGCTTCATGTCAAGCCCAAACTCCCCCCGGTAGACACAGCCGTCCTGCCACTCCTGCATGCCTTGGACAAGCTCGATGTAGTTCCTCTTCAGGTCCCTGTCCTGCAGGTTAGCCTCAGACCCTTCATCTTCCTCCCCTGGGGTCACTGGCCTGTCCCTAGGAAGACAGGAGGGAAAGGGTATCAAGGAAGGCTGAAATGTCTTCATAGTAACAGCATGCCACAAGCCAAGGGACACTTATAATGCTAGCTACTCAAGAGGCTAAGATCTGAGGATTGTTCAAAGCCAGCCAGAGCAGGAAAGCCCATGAGACTATGTCCTCTTAACCACCAAAAAGCTGAAAGTGGAGCTGTGGCTCAGCTGGTAGCTGGGAGAAAAAAAAAAATCAGGGACAGCGTCAGGCTGAGTTCAAGCCCCAGAACCAGCACCAAAAAAAAAAAAAAAAATGACTGTGTATCTGTACCATTTCAGTGTACCATTTCATTTCACTCTCACACCCCTGAGGCATGTGCACAGAAAAGGAAACTGAGGCACAAAGGATACAGTGATTTCCCAGGGGCATCTGAGAAGCGAAAAGTGCCGGTAAGGAGCCATGGCCAAGGGCAGATGTGCTGGTTTCTAGGAAAGACCAGTCAGCCCCTCCACCCACATGGCTCCAGCTGCTGGCTCCCCCAGCTGCTGGCTCCACCACCTGGGACTTGATGGCCCACAACCATAGCTACCTCCAGTTGTTGCTGGGCAGCTGTGTTCATGCTGGGGTCCTCCCACTCAAGCCAGCAACACCAGCACCAGGCCAAGAAGGAAGCAAATACTCAGCACACACATATGGACCCAGGAAGCATATTGAGAGCATATTGAGAGATAGAAGCCTGACAGAGGGGTAGATGTGGGATCCACACTGTTGAGCAGCAGGAATTTGCTTCTTTCCTGCTCTTGGGATCTAAAGATCATACCTAAAGTCATAACTCAGACAGGGATCCTAACGTCCCCATCTCACATAACCCTCTCTTCCTCCCACTTAACTCTCTGGGGGATGCTGTATGCATGTGTCTCTGCTCTAGACACTGGCTGGTGGCCTAGCTGGTAGCAAGACACCTCCATCAACCAGCTCTGGGAGACTAGCATGAGCCACAGAGGCTAAGCACAAGGAAGTTCTGGAAGTATTCAGTCTGTGTTGGGCCTATTGTTGTAGGTGCACAGAGCCAGGAAGGTAGACATCCAAATTCAACAATGACGAAGGCTGGGGGCATCGTCCTGCTTTGCTTTTTTACTTCTGCTCAATTGTTTGTACACGTTAGTGTATCCCTCAATTCTTATTTCAGAGTCTTAAACTTCAATAACTCAGACTATGGCATTTAGAAATAGATTTTACAGTAGTGGCCTACCCAATATGACCATGTCTCCATTAAAAGGGGAACTTTAGCTGGGCGCCAGTGGTTCATGCCTGTAATCCTAGCTACTCAGGAGGCTGAGATCTGAGGATCATGGTTCAAAGCCAGCCCGGGCAGGAAAGTCTGTGAGACTCTTATCTCCATTAAACCACCAGAAAACCGGAAGTGGCGCTGTGGCTCAAGTGGTAGAGCGCTCACCTTGAGCTGAAGAGCTGAGGACAGCACCCAGGCCCAGAGTTCAAACTAAAAGGGGGCAGGGGAACTCTGGACACGGAGAAATGCATAGAATGATGTGACCTGACAGATGAAGACAGAGCCACACACAAGCTGAGGATGAAGAAGGAGCCAAGATGGTTGGCACCTTGATCTTGGACTTCTGGTACCGAGGTCTGAGACAATAAGCTTGCTATTTAAGCCTCTCAGTCTGTGGTGATTTGTTACAGCACTCCTAGCTCATTTTCCTACATGTGACAAGTATTACTTGTATAAGTTTTAAAAAGGGATTAAGAGAAGAAAGAAAACCTTTAGTGTAAGTAGGAAAAGATTTTAAAAATGGAAATAACTTTGAGGTCACTCAAGAATATTACAATAGGGCTGGGAATGTGGCTTAGTAGTAGAGTGCTTGTCTAGCATGCATGAAGCCCTGGGTTCAATTCCTCGGTACCATATAAAACAGAATAGGCCAGAAGTGGCACTGTGGCTTAAGTGGTAGAGTGCTGGCCTTGAGCAAAAGAAGCTCAGAGACAGTGCCCAGGCCCTGAGTTCAAGCCCTAGGGCTGGCAAAAGAAAGAGAGAGAGACAGAGACAGAGAGAGAATATTACAATATAACCAATCAGCTGTGAGACCCCCCCAGAGATCACTGGGAAAGGCCAGTTTGCACAGTGGGCAAGGCCCAGCCAGCTTGCTCTGCCTGGTCCTCACGGGCTCCTCATCCCCAGCATAAATAACTCTGTGTCCTACTGAGGACTGTGATAGTTTGCTGGGGCTACTACATACAACAAACTACCACTGCCTGGGGGGCTTAAACAACTGCTATTTATTTCCCATGGTTCCTGGGGATGGAAGTCCAAGCTCCTGTGCCAGTGGGTTTGGTTCCTGGGGGTTTCTCCCTAGTCTGCAAGTGGAACCTTCTCACTGTGAGCTCACAGAGCAGAGCCAAAGCAGAAGCCGCGCTCTGACCCCTCTTCCTCTGGTAATACCGACTCCTAGCCCGTCCCCAGTCCGGAGCTGTGTCCTCGTCTAAACCCAGCCACGGCCCAGAGGACTCCCTTCAAATGCCATCCGTTTCTGAGGCACACAACCGTTCAGCTTACAACGGGAACACACAGGATGGGGTTGCAGGTCCAAGTAAGGCGCTGGCAGCAACTGACCCAAGGTAGCCCTGCGCACTAACTCAGCAGGGAGGAGCTGTAAGGGGAACTAGGACGGGAGGGGGCCGCTCCACCGGCCCCGCAGAAGATGGCCGGGTGAGAGGGCGGCGAGCGGACATTCTCCTCAGAGGCCTTTCCATCTCTCCAGACTTGCTTTCTGGGGACCGCTGCGCGGTGCCTCGGGACTAGCTCCGGGCGGGGTCGCGGCGGGACGGGCTCGCGGGACGGGCTCGCGGGGCCTGCACCTTCGGGCGAAGAGCCTGTAGCTGTCCTGGGCCTCCAGGGCCTCCAGCGGGCTTCTGGGGTCGGGACCCTTGGAGGCTTCGTGGTCTGGGCTGACGGGGGAAGGACTGTCTTCCATGACTCTCCTCTTGGAACCTGGAAGCAGAGCGGGGACCACAGTTCTCCCTGGGGCCCGCGGCTGGGGCCCGGGACGGCAGCCCCGCCAGCGGCCCCGCCCCGCCCCGCCCCGCCCCGCCCCGGGCCCCGCGGGCGTCCCGGCCCCGGGGGCGCACAGGGCGGGCGGGGCTGGGGAGGCTCGGGAGCGCACACCCGACCCACCGAGCCGCCGAGACACAGCTGGAGGACGGCGTCCGTTTCCCTGGAGAGCCCCTGCCAGCCTCCGCCAATCCCCGCGCTTGGTCCTGCCGGCAACGCCCCTCCCCTCCGCTCTTGGCCAATCCCGCGCCTGTTCACGATGTCCCCGCCCTCCAGGATCCACCCATCCGATGACGTGCTCAGCCTCGGGGCCCCAAGCGCCCCGGCTCCCGCGGCCGCAGCTACGCCGCCGCTGCCCGGCCTCGGCGCTGGGTGTCGCTGGCGCCCCGGGGAAGAGGGCTCCCAGCGGGCCTCGCCCACCGGCCTGGGGGACGCGCCAGGCCGTGCACCAGTGCCCCACCACGAGGACCCTCCGCCAGGCCGAGCTCGGGGGGCCGGCTTTCTGGGGCGCTGGCCCGAGGCCCCTGCCGCGCGCCCGTCCCTGCCCAGTTCACGTCCCCGCCCTGGTCACTCAGGCTTCTGGGCCGCTGCGCCCACGGGCGGCAAGATGGCAGCTGCCCCGGACCCAGACTGTCACTGTCCCATCAGGAAGCGGGCGCCGGAGCCCACGCCTGGGCTGAGGTCCGGGGATCCCGGTTCAGAGCCGGCCCCGGCAGGGAAGTCAGGGAGACTCTGATCTCCAATGAACCACGAGAAAACCAGGCGTAGCGCTGTGGCGCAAGGGGTAGAGCGCTCGCCTTGAGCTGAAGAGCGCAGGGACAGCGCCAGGCCCAGAGTTCAAGCCCCACGACTGAGGGGGGGAAAAAAGACTCCATTAGTTATTATAAGGCTGACCAAAAGGAGACCCTCACCTGATTCAGGCAGAAAAGTTTATGGGGGGGGGAGGGGGAGCATACTGTTGCCCTGCACAAGAAAGGCTGTGCAGGGGGTGCAAGGGATGGCGGGGAAGGGGAGGGGCAAGGGGAAAAAGGGCCAAAGGGTGGAACTAATGACGGAGATGGAGACTGACTATACAGGGAGAGGGCAGCGGGGAGATGTGGCCACAGCCATGACCTCAGAGCCTAGGGGAAACCGCCTGCTGCCCCCAGGTGCACCATTACCTGGGTTACATAGGTGCTAGGCAGGGACTTCAAGGGAGGGGACATTTTTTCCGGGTGGACCTAACAGTTGTAAGGGCTGTGCATATAGTTCAGTGGTACAATGCTTGCTTAGCATTCACAAAGCCCTGGATTCCACCCCCAGTACTGCCAAAAGTAAAATGATATTCAGTTAAGGTATCAAAATAGCCAGGCACTGGTGGCTCATGCCTGTTATCCTAGGTACTCAGAAGCCTGAGATCTGAAGATTGAGGTTCTAAAGCCAGCCATAAAAGAAAATGAGACCCCAGCTCTAATTAACCAGAAAAATGTCTTAAGTGGGAAGGTGTAACATTGTTCAAAAAGAAACGTACTCATTATCTGACTTACATAACTGTAAGCCCCTCTGATGATCACCTTTATAATAACATTTTTAAAGGGGGAGGGGAAGCCAGACATGCAGATGTGGCTCTGGCGGGAAAGAACAAGCCTTAAGCAAAAAAGCCAAGTTAGATTGTAGGGCCCAGAGTTCAGTGCCACTACCAGCAGAAATGTACCACAAATCAGTGAAATTGTGCCAATTATGTGTTGAATGGTGTCCCTTTCCCCCTAAAATAAGTTGAAACCTAACACCCAAGTCAGTGAATGTGACCGTCCTAAAGTATTCACAGGCATAAAGACGAGGCCTTGGTGGTCATGGTGGGCCTCCTAATGGTCTTGAGGAGATGTGGACAATCAGAGGCTCTGCAGAATACTGCTCTGTTGCTGTGGGACACCTACCCTATCCTGCTTGGTACAGAAGCTCTGGGAAACTGCTACATCATCCAGTGGGAGGGACCAAGAGGGCTAAATCATAAAGACAAGAAAACCATTTGAGGGCTGGGAAGGTGGCTTAGTGGTAGCGTGCTTGCCTCGCATGCATGAGGCCTTGTGGCTCAAGTCGTAGAGAGCTAGCCTTCAGCTGAAGAGCTCAGGGACATTGCCCAGGCCTAGAGTTCAAACCCCACGACCAACAAAAAAAAAAAAAAAAGGAAAAAAAAACTATTTGGCAAGTCTGACAATTTGGTAATTTGGTGCGACTAGCAAAAGAATTCTAAATGTGTTGGGCCCAAATATTGCGATGAATCAGTATTATTGATGTGCACAAGGCAGAGTGGCATTTTTATTAAAACAACTAAAGGCTCTGGGAAAATCAAAAGTCACCTAAAATTACAATCAAATTAAATGCAAGTGAGGTATTTGGAAACAATGGTGGGAAAAGGTCAAAAAGGTCATTCAGTCCTAGAGTCAGGAATTCACATTTATATCCCAGGTGGAGGCTATTTCCACACCAAACTTTCTGGGAACTTTGGGATAGGAAAAAAATCTATGCTAACCATAAGTCATTTGCTGCTTATACCTGCTTCTAAAATTAAAAAAAAAAAAATTATCACTTGAGTAAAATTATACCATATGATTGGTGCTTGAGACAAGGATTAAGACTGTATTGGATTATTGGTGCTGTGACTTTAAGGAAATTTGACTTCCCTTTGTGTTTGCACCTGTACCCTACTCAATAAATACCTTGTAAAATGGACCCAGGACACCTGAAGCTGGTGGAGGACTTCAGACCCCTGGTGCTCCAAACCTCAATTCCACGGTCCAGTGTCTGTCATTTGTTGTCCCTGGTGGCCACAGGTCCCAACAAAATTCCAAAAGGATTGTTTCCATAAATTATTTCTCATGATTTTAGATGCACACTAAAAAAAAAAGATGCTATGAATCCTAGCAAACCTAACAAAAGTCAGAGGAAAGTGCATGATTATGTGCTACATGTTCTAAGTCAGAGCTCAATGCTTAAGGGGAGGGGGGGGTAACTTGTTTTAGTTTTCCTGACATAACATTTTAAATTGGCTAAATGCATGCAACCTTTAGCACATCTCAAGTAATAGGGGCCTTAGTAAAATGCAGGTTTCTTTCCCTTTTCCCCCTTAGTCCTGGAGATTGAACTCAGGGTCTCTGGTACCCAGCTTGATGCATAGGATCTAGCTCCTCCTACCTCAGACTCCAAAGCAACTGGGATTGGGGGCACACAAGCCCTGCTTCACCCAGAGTTTGATTCTGTAGGTCTGAAGCAAGCTTGAGAACTTGCACTCTTAGCTAGTTCCTAGATAATGCAGATGCCACTCAATTGTAGACTATTCTCCGCCATACACTGTCTAGTATGCAGGGTGGAAGGCCTGGCGTGCCATGCCAGATAAACAGTGTATTTCGATGAAGGATGATGCAGTTTGCTCTGTGTGTATGTGTGGAGAGAGAGAGAGAGACAGAGAGACAGAGACAGACTGACAGACTATATGGACCAGGCTGGCCAGGAATGTACATCCTGCCTCAAGCTGACTTAGACCAGGCTGGGAGGAGTGGGGGTAATGGAGGATGGCTTGTGATAGAAATCAGATGCGAGGCTGGGAAGGTGGCTCAGTGGTAGAGCGCTTGCTTTGCATACATTGAGGCCCTGGGTTCGATTCCTCAGCACCACATAAGCAAGAAGAAAAAAGCCAGAACTGGCACTGTGGCTCAAGTGGTAGAGTGCTAGCCTTGAGCTGAAGAGCTGAGGGACAGCGCCCAGGCCCCACGACCGGACCCCCCCCCCGAAAAAATATCAGATGCATTACTGAAGGACAGAAATAAATCAGAAGCCTTCAATATTAGAATAAAACCAAACTTACAGTTAACTGTCTAGTACTTGACAGCAGCTCATCTATCTGAAAAATACTGGACATTGGAAAAACTGATTCAAGAGGCACTAAACGATTCTAAGTTCCTTTAAATTACAGTACTGAGCCAAGCAATTAGGAAACCATGGCCTGCGAAGAAACGATTAAGTCAATGGTAGTTTTATTTCATGCGCCGTGCTTACAATTAAAGAGGAAAACAAATTCAGACGCTAACTGACATCCAAGGAACAAAGCTGTAAAAGCGAACACCAGAGAACCTTCCATCCCAGCCACGATGTCCCAGGACAGACCTGGAGGATGTGAATCACAGGCCACCACCGGGGACGCGGCCCGGTGTCCATGTCGCCCCGAGCTCCGAACGCAGCGCCGAACGCGGCGAGTCCCCAGCCTACGCCGCAGGGCCGACCCCGCAGCCAATCAGAGGAGAGAGGGCAGGCCCCGCCCCGCCCCGCAGCCTCCGAGGCCCCGCCGGCCTCCGAGGCCCCGCCCCGCCGGCCTCCGAGGCCCCGCCCCTCCGGCCTCCGAGGCCCCGCCCCGCCGGCCTCCGAGGCCCCGCCCCTCCAGCCTCCGAGGCCCCGCCCCGCCGGCCTCCGAGGCCCCGCCCCTCCGGCCTCCGAGGCCCCGCCCCGCCGGCCTCCGAGGCCACGCCCCCGCCGGCCTCCGAGGCCCCGCCCCGCCGGCCTCCGAGGCCCCGCCCCGCCGGCCTCCGAGGCCACGCCAGGCCCAGGGGTCAGCCGCGCGGGGTCGGCTGCCGGACGTCAGCGATGGGCCCGGAGTCGGCCGCGCCGCCGCCGTTCGCGCGCGTGGCACCCGCGCTCTTCCTCGGGAACGCGCGCAGTGCGGGCGCCACGGCGTTGCTGGCGCGTGCGGGCGTCACGCTGTGCGTCAACGTCTCCCGCCAGCAGCCCGGCCCCAGCGCGCCCGGCGTGGCCGAGCTGCGCGTGCCGGTGTTCGACGACCCGGCCGAGGACCTGCTGACGCACCTGGAGCCGACCTGCGCCGCCATGGAGGCCGCGGTTCGGGCCGGCGGCGCCTGCCTCGTGTACTGCAAGAACGGCCGCAGCCGCTCGGCGGCGGTGTGCACCGCCTACCTCATGCGGTCCGGCGGCCTCAGCCTGGAGCGCGCCTTCCAGGTAGGGACTTCCGGGGCGGGACTTCCCGCAGACGCGGACTTCGGGGCGAGGCCTTCCGGTGGGGCGGGCCTTCCGGCGGGGCGGCGCAGCCTGGGCGCGTCCTAGCTCCCCGCGGGACCCATTCCGGAGCCCTGGCTCTATCTCTCTCCCCCTCTGGTCTGCAGATGGTGAAGGACGCCAGGCCGGTAGCCGACCCGAATCCGGGCTTCTGGTCTCAGCTGCAGAAGTATGAGCAGACTCTCCAGGCCCAGGCCTGCCCGCCCGGGGCGCCCGCTGATCCCGGCCGGGGGGACCGGTGACCCCTCCCGACGGCCCCGTTCCGCCTCCGGCGCCGAGGCTGGGGGAAGGGGCGGCCGTCTGCACCGACGGGCGGGGCCCCGGCGTCGAGCGCCCGCCTTTCCCCGTGGGGCCTCCTCTGCCTGAAGTGCAACTCACTGGGGTCTCTGTCCCTTCCATTGCATGCACGGCGTGTCCACCGAGGCCACCGGGCACCGCTGCCCGAGACCTCCTCCCAGCCTGCCTTTATCAGCTCCAAACTCTAACCCACCACAGTAGTTTTAGGCAGAGATTTCATGCAAGAGGATGGAGGACGGGAGCCTGGGGTAGGAGACGGGGAGCCTGGGGTAGGAGATGAGGTGCCTGGGGTAGGAGACAGGGAGCCTGGGGTAGGAGATGAGGTGCTTGGGGTAGGAGACGGGGAGCCTGGGGTAGGAGATGAGGTGCCTGGGGTAGGAGACGGGGAGCCTGGGGTAGGAGATGAGGTGCCTGGGGTAGGAAACGGGGAGCCTGGGGTAGGAGACGGGGAGCCTGGGGTAGGAGATGGGGTGCCTGGGGTAGGAGATGAGGTGCCTGGGGTAGTAGACGGGGAGCCTGGGGTAGGAGACGGGGAGCCTGGGGTAGGAGATGGGGAGCCTGGGGTAGGAGACGAGGAGCCTGGGGTAGGAGACGAGGAGCCTGGGGTAGGAGATGAGGAGCCTGGGGTAGGAGACGGGGAGCCTGGGGTTGCTGGCTGCTGGAGCCTGGGGTAGGAGATGAGGTGCCTGGGGTAGGAGATGAGGTGCCTGGGGTAGGAGATGAGGAGCCTCGGGTAGGAGATGGGGAGCCTGGGGTAGGAGATGGGGAGCCTGGGGTAGGAGATGGGGAGCCTAGGGTAGGAGATGGGGAGCCTAGGGTAGGAGATGGGGAGCCTGGGGTAGGAGACGGGGAGCCTGGGGTTGCTGGCTGCTGGAGCCTGAGGTAGGAGACGGGGAGCCTGGGGTTGCTGGCTGCTGGAACCACCGCAGCCCCTGCCCCTGCCAGGCTTCTCAGAAATGCGCTGGCTGTCTTCCATGCTCAGGCTTGTGCCTACTCCTACACACCAGGGATGGCGGCTTCCACTTCACTCAACCATGTCAACAACGTCAGACCTAGCATCATCTGGCCGCTGGAATGCCTTCCCTGTGCTGTCCTCCCGTGGTCTCCTTGTGCCAATTCCTACCCAAGTTCAGGCACATCCTATGGTTTTGACATCTGGAAAGTTAGTCGCCAACAACATTCTTCAAATAGTGAGGAAAAAGAAAAGGGAAACAAGTGTGTATGAATCAAACAATACAGTCACTGGTTAATCTATCCAGATACATAGGAATCTATGAATAAAGTGCCATAGTGCACCTGCTGTCTGCTGAGCAGTCCAGAGCCACACTGCCCCTGGAGGTCAAACACTGGTAGCTCTGTGCACCTCCCCCCTGCACTCCTGGACCTAGGCTCTGGCTGTGATGGAACAGCCTGGCCACTGGTCACAAGTCACCACCACACCCTGGCGGGAAGCAGTCAGCCGGGTCTGTTACACCAGAGCCACGGTCTCAAAACAGGACTGCTGCGCAGCCTGCCGAGTTTACCTCCCCATATCCCTCAAAGATCATCAGCTCCCCTCAGCCAGCAAGGCTGCAGTGGCTTACAAAGGAGAACCAGGCTCAGATTTGTACCCCATGTATGTGGCTGATGCCTGCTCCCCATACCTTTGATAGGGTCTCCAAAGCCATCCTCAGAGCAGGGAACAGCTGCTGTTGATTTGTCCTTGGGTAATGAGAACAAGGACTGCAAGGCCTAGGCCAGGAAGGGTCCCACTGGACACTTCTTATCTCACCAGCTCCATTCTGGGGGCTCCCCACCAGACCTCTGTTCTAGAGACACCAGGGCCCTCCTCTGAACACTGCTTCCTTCCAGGAACCTTTGCTGCTCTCCCAGGCTGCTGGCTCCCTGCACGTCTCAGCACTCACTTCTCAGGGGTGAGGCCAGGATCCCACATACCCCATCACAGACAGCCCACACAGTGCAGGTAGTGTGTCTCCCCCCCACCACACCACCTCTGGGATGGTGCAAAGATCCCAGTGGGAAAGACAGGACTTGACGGGTCCTGATGTCCGAGTGTGAAGGAAGCATGGGGAATCAACCAAGACTGACAGACAAGTTCATTCTTAATAGCTTTTAATTCAAAGCATGTATGCACTGCTTGCTTTAAGCTATATACTCATGAACTACAATGTTTAGTAGAAAAAAAAGGGAGGGGTGCGATGTTGGTGTCTCTGTTAGTGTGCTCATTCTGGGATTGAGAAAATGACTCCTCTGGGCAGAAACCATGTTTGCAAAGAAAATACTTCAAGGGTGGGCAGGTCTTGAAAGGAGCTTGTGGCAGAATCCACTCTAAAGTAACCACCAGATAGATACCTGTGAGCCAAGTTCGGAGAGCAGTCTCTGCCGGGAGTTTAGTCGCAAGTGACACAGTGTAACAACAGGATGGGATGCGCCTGGGTTCGGATCTAAGGTAGCCAGCCTGCTTTTAAATCGCACTCGGGAGGGTTAGAGTGCTATCAGCTGCACCCACACACCCGCATCTGGTTGTGCGTTATCTTGCTTTGTTCCTCTAATAAACCTCAGGCTCAGTGTGTCCTAAAATTAATTTTTGTGACGTCATTCATTGAGCCGAGCAGAGGCCTGGTCCTGTCTGGAACATCAGGGACCCCAGCCCCAGGTCTGGTAACGCGCGACCCGGTATTCCACCGCCTAGGCTACCGCGGTGAGGCTCCCGGCCTCACAGGACACAGAAGGGGGCTCGGGGCCTGCCAGCGGTGCGGGGCCCAGGACCTGTCCACCCCACCGCCCGGCCCGAGAGCTCACTGCGGCTTTGATTCCCGAGTGGGGTCGGGGGACACGGAAACCATCGCCGACGCCTGCGGACAGGCCAGCGGGCAGCACCGAGCTCTGCGCTGCAGGTCCCGAAGTCCCCGTGCGCCCCTGGGTTGCCTGGCCCAGCATCCTGGGCTCCACGGCGACCCGCTTCCCGGGGGCTCCCTGCGCAGGCAAGGCCGGCAGCCGCCACGTGCCCAGAGGAGCGCCCCGCATGCCCCACTCCCCGCGCGGCGCCCCGGCCCCGCACGCCGTGCCCCGAGTTGCACGCCCCGGCGACCCAAGCTCCCAATTCCGAGTCCCGGCCCCACGCACAGTGCCCAGACCCCGCACGTCCCGACTCCCCGCGCGGCGCCCCAGCCCCGAACCGCGCACCTCCCCGCGGCGCCCCAGCCCCCGAACCGCGCACAGTGCCCCGGCCCCGCAGGCCCCGACTCCCTGCGCGGCGCCCCGAGTCCCGGCCCACCCCGCGGGCCCGCACGCCCCGACTTCCCGAGCGGCGCCCCGAGTCCCGGCCCTCCCCGCGGTCCACACGCCCCGACTCCCTGCGCGGCGCCCCGAGTCCCGGCCCTCCCCGCGGTCCACACGCCCCGACCTCCCGAGCGGCGCCCCGGCCCGGCCCTCCCCGCGGGCCCGCACGCCCCGACCTCCCGAGCGGCGCCCCGAGTCCCGGCCCTCCCCGCGGTCCACACGCCCCGACTTCCCGAGCGGCGCCCCGAGTCCCGGCCTTCCCCGCGGTCCACACGCCCCGACCTCCCGAGCGGCGCCCCGAGTCCCGGCCTTCCCCGCGGTCCACACGCCCCGACCTCCCGAGCGGCGCCCCGGCCCGGCCCTCCCCGCGGGCCCGCACGCCCCGACTTCCCGAGCGGCGCCCCGAGTCCCGGCCCTCCCCGCGGGCCCGCACGCCCCGACTTCCCGAGCGGCGCCCCGAGTCCCGGCCCTCCCCGCGGGCCCGCACGCCCCGACCTCCCGAGCGGCGCCCCGAGTCCCGGCCCTCCCCGCGGGCCCGCACGCCCCGACCTCCCGAGCGGCGCCCCAGCCCGGCCCTCCCCGCGGGCCCGCACGCCCCGACCTCCCGAGCGGCGCCCCGAGTCCCGGCCCTCCCCGCGGGCCCGCACGCCCCGACCTCCCGAGCGGCGCCCCGGCCCGGCCCTCCCCGCGGGCCCGCACGCCCCGACTTCCCGAGCGGCGCCCCGGCCCGGCCCTCCCCGCGGGCCCGCACGCCCCGACCTCCCGAGCGGCGCCCCGGCCCGGCCCTCCCCGCGGGCCCGCACGCCCCGACCTCCCGAGCGGCGCCCCGAGTCCCGGCCCTCCCCGCGGTCCACACGCCCCGACCTCCCGAGCGGCGCCCCGAGTCCCGGCCCTCCCCGCGGTCCACACGCCCCGACCTCCCGAGCGGCGCCCCGGCCCGGCCCTCCCCGCGGGCCCGCACGCCCCGACCTCCCGAGCGGCGCCCCGGCCCGGCCCTCCCCGCGGTCCACACGCCCCGACCTCCCGAGCGGCGCCCCGAGTCCCGGCCCTCCCCGCGGTCCACACGCCCCGACCTCCCGAGCGGCGCCCCGGCCCGGCCCTCCCCGCGGGCCCGCAGGCCGCGGCCCGCGCACAGCGCCCCCGGCGGCTGCCGCGCGGAGCCCGAGCGGGGCGGCGCGCGGCGCGGGGCCGGGTCGGGCGGCTCCCGGCGCGACTTCCTGTTGTGCCCGCGCCCCACCGCCGCCGCCGCCGCCGCCCGGCGCCCCTCGCCCGCTGCCCGCGGCCGGGTGCGGCCGCCGCCCCATGGATTTCACCTAGCGCCGGCGGCCATGGCGGCGCAGTGCTGCTGCCGCAAGGCGCCCGGCGCCGAGGCCGCGCCCGCCCGCCCGCCGCCGGAGCCGCCGCCCGCCCTGGACGTGGCCTCGGCCTCCAGCGCGCAGCTCTTCCGCCTCCGCCACCTGCAGCTGGGCCTGGAGCTGCGGCCCGGGGCGCGCGAGCTGGCCGGCTGCCTGGTGCTGGAGCTGTGCGCGCGGCGGCCCGCGCCCCGCGCGCTCGTGCTCGACGCGCACCCGGCCCTGCGCCTGCACTCGGCCGCCTTCCGCCGCGCGCCCGCCGCGACGCCCTGCGCCTTCGCCTTCCCCGCCCCCGGGCCCGGACCCCCGCCGCCCCCGCTGCCCGCCTTCGCCGAGGCCCCGGGCTCCGAGCCCGCCTGCCGCCCGCTGGCCTTCCGGTCGGACCCGTTCACGGACTACGGCTCCTCGCTCACCGTCACGCTGCCGCCCGAGCTGCCGGCGCACCAGCCCTTCCAGGTGGTCCTGCGCTACACCTCGACCGACGCCCCCGCTGTGAGTCCCGCCGGGGGTCGCCGGGCCGGACCCTGCTCTGGGGCACCCGGGGGAGCAGAGCGTGGGGCCGCCGGGGGGCCGAGCCCTTCCCCGGGGCCCCGCTGGTTTCCAGCTGCCTGCTCCAAGGTCTTAGGCGCTCAGGCTGGAGCTGCAGGTTCAGGCCCGGTGGGCCGTGGGGCCTGGGAACAGTGTCACCCTGAGAAGGCTCCGGGAGCCTTAGGAGCTCGGCCCTCCTCTGTGTAGGGGGGAGGCAGGGGGGGAGGGGCGGTCGTGAGCCAAACGGAGCCTGGCTTTAAGCCACGGTGGGCAGGGGCCCTTGGTGACCCGGGCCTTCCCAGGCGTGAGCACATCCAGGTGTATTCCCTAGAGGCACGGTAAGGGGCAGGTGGCTCCTGCCGAGGCAGGACCTAGCCTGTCTAGGCTTCTAGGCTGGACTTTGGGTGCTGAGATGGGTGTACCCCAGCTCTGACAGGCACACCAGGCTCCCCGCAGTGCCTTGGTGCCAGGCACACACCACCCCAGAAGCCCTGCCAGGAAAGCCAGCTAGGCAGGGCCAGGCCCAGCACCGTGGCGCCCGGATGGAGCAAGGCCTTTCCTTCCCTGAAGCATGGTGGGGCTGCTGGCCTTGCAGGTTGTATGGGTGACACGTGAAATCCGGAGTACTCACCTAACCACCACCCCTGCTGTGTGGGCCCTGGGAAGGGCCTCTTGCCCCTGGTGGCGGGAACCCCCAAGTGGACAGGCTGAGGGCAGCAAAGGAGCAAGGTGGCATATCTGGCGAGGAAGAAGCCGTGTCAGGTGCACGTGCCCAGGAGCTCCTCTGAGTCCTGCCACCTTGGGTCTTCCCAGATGCTGCTCCACCAGGCGTGGCCCATGCCCGCAGTGGTCGCCTGGGGCGTCCGGTCAGACCTGAGGGACACGCTCCCCCCTGACCCCACCTGGGCACATGGGCCCCATGGGTCCAAGCATGGCCAGCCTGGCGGCAGGACCAGGGTCCTCACCTGGCTGCTGTGGACAGGGCCCCTGAGCCAGGGTGGCCAATGTTTGGGGGTTCTGCTTGCCCCAGGCAGCACAGTCCCCACAGACTGAGTGTGGCCCCAGACAAGGGCCAGGCCCACACCTGAGGAAGCACGGTGGCGCTGGTCTCCAACATTACCATGGCATGAGTGCTGCAGGGTTCAGAGCTTGCCTCCCCGAGCCTGTTCTTGGGCCACTGCAGGTCCTAGGATGTCTGGGTTTTCTGGGAGGCCCAGCCGGCAGGCCCCATGCCCTCGGAAACCAGTTGGGAGTGTTGTAGACCCCACCTTCTTCCCTTGCATCCTACTCCTGCATCTCTCCGCGCAAGGACACCATCCTTCTTGCCCCGCAGTGTCCCAAGGTCAGACCATCCCTTCTTCCTCAGGCTGCCAGGGCAGGGGCTGGGAACCCGGCTGGGGCAGGGCCCAGTTCCTCAGCCTAAGGGAGCCTTTGGGCCCCTTGGTCCCTGGAAAGCAGACAACTCACCGGGGCTAGGTGTGGCTATGAGGCAGTGAGGAGGCGGCTGCGGTGGAGGGGAAGGCAGAGCCGACACCAGAGTGGGCCAGGGGTAAAGGAGGGGAGGGGTTGAGGGCCAGGGACCACAGCAGGATCTCCTGTGGACTCGTGTGTCCATGCAAGGAGGGCCCTTGGATCCTAGGCCTGGAGAGCCCAGAGGTCCGAGGCCGTCCCTGCAGGCTGACTTCTGCCACACATTCACCCCAGACAGGTCTCTGAGTATGTGGAAAACTTGAGCCCTAGCAGAAAAGGAAGACAGGCTTGCCATGGTGAGGGGTCATTGTCGGGGCAGCTGAAAGGGGCTTGGAGGAGCTCCACCAGTACTGGTAGAGGCCTAGCTGGGCGGGGGGAGAAGGGGTGACACCGCTCAGCAGCTCTGGGTACCCCTCCCCCACCCTCATGATGGCAGCAGCCTGGACTGTCCAGCTGTGTATCCCACCCATGGTCCTGGGAAGACAGGTGAGCATGGGTCACCAGAGTGGATAGAGAACAATTCCGTTTGCTCCAACAATCACGGCCTGGAAGAGAGCCGGGGGGCAGCCACACAGCTGCCACCCCGCAGTGGGATGGGCCTGGCCTCAGCGCCCGGAGCCGGGGCGGTCTGAGCCAGAGGTTGGCCTGTCCCTGGGGGTGGGACAGCAGCCGCCCTGATTACAGCCTTGCCACTGCCGCTCTGACCTCCACGCCCCGGCACAGAGGCCTTCCAAGGGCCACCTCTGTCCTCCGAGCTTCCTGCCTGGCTGCCTCTCACCCGCTGCCAGACCCTACCTAGGCTTGCCTTCACTGCCGGCGATGGTCGCAAGCTCTGGTTCCCACACTTCCACGTTCCGGGCTGAGACCAGACCGGCGGCCGGTCTGCGGGGATTTGGGGATTTGGATCTTGTGCCGCGGTTTCCCCTCAAGCTCAGCTAATGCTAGCATGAGTTTTTCCCTCTTCTGCCCAGTGGTGCTGGGCGATTCCCTGGGCTGCCTCCGAACATATGACCTCCTTCCCAAGCAAGGCCTGGCCCTGGTGCAGGGTGCGCTCTGGGTGAGCAGCCCTCCTGTCCTTCGGCCTGGGGGAGGGAAGCAAGGGTGGCAGGTGGTGGGTGAGGACTACGGGTTTGCCACAAGCTCAGCATAACTAGACTAGACTCCCAGCCCCCAGCCACCTTCTCTGCTGCTGCCTGGGGCCCTGGGCTGCTGTGTACTGACTGTCCATGCCCCACTCTGCCCACAGATCTGGTGGCTGGACCCAGAGCTGACCTATGGCAACGCTAAGCCCTTCGTCTTCACCCAGGGCCACTCTGTGTGCAACCGCTCCTTCTTCCCCTGCTTCGACACGCCGGCTGTCAAGAGCACGTACTCGGCTGTCGTCAAGGTCAGACCTGCCCCCGCCACCTCCAGGCACTGCCGAACCCCAGGCCAGCCGGGCAGAAGGGTGCCTGTCCCGCCAAGGCCCCGGCTGCCCTGCCACTTTCCTAGCAAGAGGCCACCCTCGCTGCTCTGAAGGGAGCCCCTCCCGCCAGGATGGGCCCCGCGTTCACACTGGCCTGATGCGGCAGGGTCCTGGGTTAGGATGGGGTCCCGATGAGGACAGGGGTGAGCTCCCAGCTCCTCAGAGCTGGGGAGCGTGTGGCAGACTTAGCTGGGTGAGTGTTACAGACCGGAAGTTTGAGGTTCCCAGTATGGGTGGCTTCCTCTCCCAGCTTGTGGGGCTCTATGAGGGGGTGTAGGGTCCCATCCATGATGTGGAATTCCCCGACCTGGGGGAGTGGGGGGTCACTCTTGGGGGACCTAGAACTTCCTGTCACTCAGACGTTTCCTCCTGCCTGGGAGCCAGGTGCCCTGCCCTGTCAGCCACAGCCCTGGTGGAGGGTACCCCAGGAGGCCTGTGCCCTGCCCTGCAGGCCGCAGGCCCGGGTGGGTGGAGGGTACCCCAGGAGGCGGGTGCCCTGCCCTGCAGGCCACAGGCCCGGGTGGGTGGAGGGTACCCCAGGAGGCGGGTGAGCTGCCCTGCAGGCCGCAGGCCCGGGTGGGTGGAGGGTACCCCAGGAGGCGGGTGTGCTGCCCTGCAGGCCGCAGGCCCGGGTGGGTGGAGGGTACCCCAGGAGGCGGGTGCGCTGCCCTGCAGGCCGCAGGCCCGGGTGGGTGGAGGGTACCCCAGGAGGCGGGTGCGCTGCCCTGCAGGCCGCAGGCCCGGGTGGGTGGAGGGTACCCCAGGAGGCGGGTGCGCTGCCCTGCAGGCCGCAGGCCCGGGTGGGTGGAGGGTACCCCAGGAGGCGGGTGCGCTGCCCTGCAGGCCGCAGGCCCGGGTGGGTGGAGGGTACCCCAGGAGGCGGGTGCGCTGCCCTGCAGGCCGCAGGCCCGGGTGGGTGGAGGGTACCCCAGGAGGCGGGTGCGCTGCCCTGCAGGCCGCAGGCCCGGGTGGGTGGAGGGTGAGCCGCCCCGCAGGCCGCGGGGCCCCAGCTGCCTCTGTCGCAGGCCCCGTCGGGGGTGCAGGTGCTGATGAGTGCGACTCGCAGCACATACGTGGAGGAGGAGGGCGTCTACCACTTCCACATGGAGCACCCCGTGCCCGCCTACCTCGTGGCCCTTGTGGCTGGAGACCTCAAGCCAGCAGACATCGGGCCCAGGTAGGGCCTCCTCCATCCCGCTGCTGTCTCTAAAGGCAGGGAGGGAGAGCCCCGTAGACTGAGCTGCAGCCTGCACCCGTGCTGTCCTGCCCAAGCCCTCCACTGCGTTGCAATTCATGTCAGACAGCCACAAGCCCCAAGGACCAACTCTGCTCCTGCCTGTGGCCAGGCCCAGAGTCACACTGCCAAAGCTTCCTTCCCACGTCCGCTCAGACCTGGCAACCTGACCCACTTAGTACCTGGCCCTGCCAGCCTGCCCTGCCTCCCTGGCCTCACACAGCCAGATGCACCTCCTGTCCTCGAGAGTCCCTTTAACCTGGAGGCAAAGGGACCGCGTGACTCCTCCGAATTCAGCGCCACCGCTGCTGTGGGAAGGGCCGGGGTCCCCCACGCAGGGAGGGAGGGCGGCCAACTGGGGAGGGAAGGGCAGGCAGTGGGAAGGCTGGTGGGGTGCCTCACCCGTCCTCTCTACCCGTGACAGGAGCCGTGTGTGGGCTGAGCCATGTCTTCTGCCCACGGCCACCAGCAAGCTGTCTGGCGTTGTGGAGCAGTGGCTAAGTGCGGCTGAGCGGCTCTATGGGCCTTACATGTGGGGCAGGTATGTCGTGTCCTCGGGTTACACACCTGTCCCCATGTGGGGAGCCCAGGCGGGTGGCCACGTCGGGTGGGGTGTGGGCTGCTGAGCTCCTCTGTCGTGCCCTGCCTGCACCTGTGGCACAGGTATGACATCGTCTTCCTGCCCCCCTCCTTCCCCATCGTGGCGATGGAGAACCCCTGCCTCACCTTCATCATCTCCTCCATCCTGGAGAGCGACGAGTTCCTGGTCATCGATGTCATCCACGAGGTGGCCCACAGCTGGTTCGGCAATGCCGTCACCAATGCCACGTGGGAGGAGATGTGGCTGAGTGAGGGCCTGGCCACCTATGCCCAGCGCCGCATCACCACAGAGACTTATGGTACCCTTGAGGACAGGCAGGTGTAGTGCAGTGTGGGGGGTGGGGGTCACGGGTCTGGGTCTGAGGACAGGCAGGTGTAGTACAGTGTGGGGGGTGGGGGTCACGGGTCTGGGTCTGAGGACAGGCAGGTGTAGTGCAGTGTGGGGGGTGGGGGTCACGGGTCTGGGTCTGAGGACAGGCAGGTGTAGTGCAGTGTGGGGGGTGGGGGTCACGGGTCTGGGTCTGAGGACAGGCAGGTGTAGTGCAGTGTGGGGGGTGGGGGTCACGGGTCTGGGTCTGAGGACAGGCAGGTGTAGTGCAGTGTGGGGGGTGGGGGTCACGGGTCTGGGTCTGAGGACAGGCAGGTGTAGTGCAGTGTGGGGGGTGGGGGTCACGGGTCTGGGTCTGAGGACAGGCAGGTGCAGTGCAGTGTGGGGGGTGGGGGTCACGGGTCTGAGGACAGGCAGGTGTAGTGTGGGCTGTGGGCTATGTCACAGGGTCTGGGACTGGCCATCACTGGTTAAGCCCACAAAGCTGAGTGGCAAGCAGCCAGGCAACAGACAGCACTGGGGCAGGCTCCGGCCACCTCAGCTGCCCAGCTCTCACATTTCCCTCCGCAGGTGCTGCCTTCACCTGCCTGGAGACGGCCTTCCGCCTGGACGCCCTGCACAGGCAGATGAGGCTGCTGGGGGAGGACAGCCCAGTCAGCAAGCTGCAGGTCAAGCTAGAGCCAGGTACACCCCCCACATGACACCTGTGCATGACTGCTCCCGGGATCCCCAGAGGACCCAGGGGTCCAAGGCATGACACCTCTCGGGATCCCCCCAGAGGACCCAGGGATCCAATGCATGACACCTTTCGGGATCCCCAGGGGACCCAGGGGTCCAATGCATGACACCTCTCAGGACCCCCAGAGGACCCAGGGGTCCAATGCATGACACCCCTCGGGATCCCCCCAGAGGACATGGGGTCCAATGCATGACACCCCTCGGGATCCCCCTAGAGGACATGGTGTCCAATGCATGACACCTCTTGGGATCCCCCCAGAGGACATGGGGTCCAATGCATGACACCTCTCAGGATCCCCCCAGAGGACATGGGGTCTAATGCATGACATTTCTCGGGATCCCCAGAGGACATGGGGTCTAATGCATGACACCTCTCGGGATCCCCCCAGAGGACATGGGGTCCAATGCATGACACCTCTCAGGATCCCCCCAGAGGACATGGGGTCCAATGCATGGCACCTCTTGGGATCCCCAGAGGACATGGGGTCCAATGCATGACACCTCTCAGGACCCCCAGAGGACATGGGGTCCAATGCATGACACCTCTCGGGATCCCCCCAGAGGACGCAGGGGTCCAGTGGCTGTCCAATAAGATGCTTCCCCACAGGAGTGAATCCCAGCCACCTGATGAACCTGTTCACCTATGAAAAGGGCTACTGCTTTGTGTACTACCTGTCCCAGCTCTGTGGGGACCCCAAGCGCTTTGATGACTTCCTCCGGGTGAGCAGATGGGCCCGGCACCCCCTCCCCCCAGGGAGAGAGGCCCGGGGGCCGGCAGGGTTGGCACCCCCTCCCTTTGCGGTTCCCTGTGCCATGAGGCCTTGCCCCTCCTTACACAGGCCTATGTGGAGAAATACAAATTCACCAGCGTGGTAGCCCAGGACCTGCTGGACTCCTTCCTGAGCTTCTTCCCGGAGCTAAAGGAACAGAGTGTGGACTGCCGGGCAGGTGAGGCTGGCCTGCCCTGCTGCAGGCCTGGGACACCAGTGCTGAGTGAAGGAGCCAGTGTAGGCTGCCGGGCAGGCAGGGGAAGACAAGGGTGTTGTGGGGAGAGGCGGGTGTGCTCCCCGGCCTATGGGGGATGGGGTGTTGCGGCTAGGGATTGTTCCTAGAGGTGAACACCTGCCGAGCAGGTTGGGCTAGGTATTGAGAGTCTGGGCGGGATCAGCCATGTGGAAAGAGGTTGGATCTGGTCCTGCTTGTGGGGCATGAGGACCTCCTGAGGGTCTGAGAGTTTTGGGGGCAAGTAAGGGACCAGAGGACCCCAAACCCAAGAAAAGGCTGGAGCTGACTAGAGCAGTGAGAGGAGGCCGGAAGCATGGGGGAGCTGGCCCTGTTTGGGAAGTTACCGAAGAACAGGGTGGATCTGGGTGGGAGCCGCATCTCTGCAGCGCTGTCACGCACAGGGCAGAGCCCCCACCAACCCCAGGGTTGGGTTGTTGTTTTTTAATGTTTTTTATTGTGAAAATACTGTACAGAGGGGTTATAGTTACACAGGGTTGGGTTTTAAGTAGTTGCTTGTCTTGTTCTCAGGAGGGGTATAAAGGGAGTGGGCATCTCTTGGGCACCACTCGAGGTTCATCCAGTGGCTTCAAGGGGCAAGCACTAGCCAGAACTGTCCCCCTGCTCCCCAAACCACCCGTGCCTCTGGGAGGACCCAGGCTCGAGACTAGACCACCTGCCAGGGAAGTCCCAGGGCTTGAGTCCCATCGGCAGGCTGCTCAGGTCCCCCCTTCCTCAGCCTGGACAGGGACGTCAGGACCGCTTCTCCCCACAGGGCTGGAGTTTGAGCGCTGGCTTAACGCCACGGGTCCACCGCTGGCAGAACCAGACCTGTCTCAGGGGTCCAGCCTGACCCGGCCTGTGGAGGCCCTCTTCCAGCTGTGGACCGCAGGGCCTCTGGACCAGGCAGCCGCCTCGGCCAGTGCTGCCGACATCTCCAAGTGGAGAACCTTCCAGACGGCACTTTTCCTGGACCGGCTGCTGGACGGGTGCCCACTACCCCAGGGTGGGTCCCACCACTGGGGATGCGGGGTGGGGGGTTGGTGTCCATCCACGCCTAACCGCCCGCTGCCCTGCAGAGGTGGTGACAAGCCTGTCCAAGTGCTACTCTTCCCTGCTGGACTCGATGAATGCCGAGATCCGCATCCGCTGGCTGCAGATTGTGGTCCGAAATGACTACTACCCTGACCTCCACAGGGTCCGGCGCTTCCTGGAGAGCCAGGTCAGGCCAGCGGCCGTGGGGCCGCAGCATGGGGGGCTTGCCTCCGTGCCTAGCGCTGCTGTGTAGTCTGGGGCAGGGCCAGGAACGCTGGAGAGGGAGATGGGAAAGCATGGAAGTCTGTGTCAGGGTTCCCTGACTCCCCCAGGCAGGAGGCCTGGAGGGAAGAGCTGGAGCTGGAGTTTGGGGGGTCTTTGCCATCTCAGCCTTATGCTGGCTGGCTGGGGATGGCGTGGGGGCCTTGGGGAAGCACTATCAGGCAGCCGCTCCAAGTCTCAAATCTGTGTGTCCTGCCCCCAGTTCAGATTCCTGGACTCTCGACCTCCAGAGATGGTGGGCATGTTGGGGTGGGGAGCGGGGGGTGAGAGGCTGGAGTTGTTGGGCTGCAGGCTGAGGCCTGTTCAGGTGCAGGAGGGGGCGGGAGGTGCCCGTGTGACCCACCCCGTGACCCACACACACAGGTGTCGCGCATGTACACCGTCCCGCTGTATGAGGACCTCTGCACCGGGGCCCTCAAGTCCTTCGCACTGGAGGTCTTCTACCAGACACAGGGCCGCCTGCACCCCAACTTGCGCAGAACCATCCAGCAGATCCTGTCCCAGGGCCTGGGCCCCAGCACAGAGCCGGGAGACACACCAGCCCTGCTGCTCGGGGAGGAGGCCCCCAGCGGCACCCTCTCTCTCAGGGACGTCAACGTGTCCGCCTAGCTCGGATGGCTGCCCACCTCCCGGATGCCGCGATTGTGCCTTCTGTGGTCTGGGCCGCCATGACTGCCCCTTGGCTCTGGCTGTGAGCCCCCCATGGGCTCTCCCGGGCCTGGGGCACAGGGAAAGGGACCTTGTGTCCGGAGAAAGCCCACGGAACTGGGTCCAAGTTGTCCCAGCTCTCTTGCACTGCAGGGTCCAGGACAACCAGTACCACACCTCCCACCTCCGTCCAGATGCCAGCGCCTGCTGACCGCTGCCCGGGGGCCAAGACCCCAGCAGCCCCTGGCCACCGCCACACTGTGCCTTATGCCTGCCGGAGACCCAGGCCACTCGTGTCTGAAGTGCGTCTCCCCGCAGAGCCCTGCGCCCGGCCCCTGGGCCTGGCAGAGGGACAAGGACACCGACATTCCTTCATAGTGGGGAAGAAGATGGGTGTCCCTGGGCACCCTTCAGCCAGCCAGCCAGCCATGGGGTCCAGACCCTGGAGGCCTGTGGGCAGGACAGCCTGTCCCGAGGCTGACGAGGGTGCTGGTGGTGCTCAGGGCCCTGCTGGGAGAGGCACCGGGCCAGAGTCTCAGCCTGGGACCACTGCAGCAGAACACCTGGTAGCTGTCCCATTAAACCTCCACTCTGCAGACCTGGCCTCCCGTCCGGTTCATCCACCGTGAGCGCCGGCCTCCACCCTGAGCCTGACACCAAGGCCTGGAAGTGGGTGTCTGCCTCTAGCAGCCTCCCCTCTCCCGGGTGGGGACTGGAGGGCAGCATGGCTTTCTGGGGATCTTCAGAGAAGATGCACATCACACCCTGACTAGTTGAGCCTCAACATGGGCTGCAGTCCCGCCCTCAGCCATGGAGGAGGAGGTGTGGGAGAGGGGGATGAGTCACGGAGGAGACTGCATGGAGTCCACGAGGACAGGCTGACACAAATGGGTGGCACTGCTTCTTGTAGTCATCCCGGGCTTGGGCCGCAGGGCCACCCTCTGGTACCACGCCACACTCAGATGTCTGCCCACCAGGAAAGGTGCTGTGGCCTGGAGGCAATGTCTCTTGTCCCAGCCTACAGGCCATACCTGGTCATGGCCCTGCTCGACACACTGTCCAGAAGTAGGGAGACTAGAAAGTAGGGGTACTGTGATGCTGAAGGCACAGCTCCCCATCCAACCCCTGGCTATCAAAGCCTTTATGACACCAACCCATCTTCTGATACAAGAGACCCCCAGTCATGGCTGAAAATGAGTCCAGGGTTGTGAGGTCCATGTGCAAGTCTCTGCCTCTGCCCTAGGGAAGCACTGCTTTAGCTAGACAAATCCAGTGGCCTCTTCCCTTACAGGTAGCAGGGGCCTGGGAGGAAATGACGGCAATGGCACACAGCATCATTTCCAGGCCCCGGTCTATCCTCAGCTGTGCTCTGTGGCCCTGGCGGGCAGCCCGCTTTCTTGCTGGTTCCTTTGTGGCAGCACCTAAAGACAGGTCTACATAGAAGCCCTCCTCCACTGCAGAATTCTTCCTGCCCCAGCCACCAGACTCTTCCTGACAAGTCCTGCCCACTGTCATCCCCAGCACCTCCTGTGCCACCCAGTGGATCCTGGGGGGGAGGGCACTTCCAGAGCAGCCCTCGCAGCCTTGCACCCTGGCCACGCCACCATGTCAGCACTTCTTCCGGCAGCGTCTGGTCAAGGGAAGCCTGTGACCATGGCTTTCTGCCTATTCCCCAGCCTCCCTCAGGGGCTGACGCTATTTGATACACGGCTTTAGGAGTCTATAGATTCTACCAAATGTTTTGTCAGCGTGCAATTACAGACTCCAGCGTTTGCTGCTGGCTGTAGCCTGGCTTGGCCAACCACCAGCACCACATCTGACCAAGCCGCACCTCTGCGGGCCAAATTCGGCATCAGGGAGGTTAAGTTGCAGCTCCTCCACAGGCAGCAGAGAGACACAGGGCATAGGACCAAGCGTGTATTCCTCACTGGCTTCCGCATGCTAGGGTGGGATGGGCTGCCACGTAGCTGCTCAAGGTCTGTGCTGATGGAGACCTTTACAGACACGATATGGGGATAAAGAGCCACAGAGGGCCCTGCCCACAGCGCACGCTTTGGAGCATCACCCCATCCCGGGCCTAGGACACTGTATTTGGATTATCTGCTCTGAAGGAAGCCAGTGGAGTGGTTAGGTGGACACGTGTGCACCCCATGGGGGCTCACATGGGAAGCTCAGGAAGCTGCTGACTCCTCCAGCCCCAGCCCAGCCTTCTTGTACTCAATCTTCTTCCAGACCTCAAGCCGGAACCCCAAATGAGAGGCTCCAACATGCCTGACCAAAGCTGTGAGATGTTGCTTTGAGCCACCAAGTTTTTGAGCAATTTTTTAGGCAGCAGTGGATAAGACAATCTAAGCCAGTCTGTCTTGCTACAAAGATTTAAGATTACTCCAACCATAGAACTACATCCAAGTACCTTACACCTGAGAACACCAGGAGAGGTGACTCTGGGCCTATTACTTCAGGGTTAGTGGTGTTGAGATCCAGGTTCTTTCTCTTTCTGCTCTGGGTTACCGGCATGTTTGTTTTTGTTCTATGGCTCATTTCCACATGGCTGCAAGCTGAGCACGCCTGTTTCTAGCACATGGCATTTTCCAGAGGCTGAAGAGGGTGTGTGCCCTCTTTTTCTGGTACTGAAAACCTCCCTTGTAGCCCGATTACTTGTGCCTTACTGCCAAAAACTGGGGCATGTGGCCCTTGCTACACTTCTGATTGGAGATTAGGTCATAGTCTTCGGGTGACTTTAGTTGCCAAAAAACAGGGTTAAAGCCAGTGTTGGTAAGGAAGGTGACCATGTGGCAGGCTCGCACTTGAACCTGTGGTCTGACAGACTGCCCTCAGCCCGGCACCTGCCCTCTTCAGCTACTGCTGCGGGTCCCTGCACCGGGAGCACCTTCTCTCCTCTCCCTAAGCTTGGGATTGCTGCTGGCTCCCGTCTCTGCATCCTCACCTAACCCTGGGAACTGCAAGCAGGGAATGGGTTTTCTGTTTCCGTAACTCCATGAAAACCAATCACCAGTACAAGAGGTACAGTTATCATCCCCAAGCAAATGGGGGTGTGCGAGTTCCGGTGCAGAGGCCCAGGGAGCACTCCCTTGAGAGGGTCAGTCCTCCAGGCAGACGCCAAAGCAGCACAATGGAAGGAGGCACCCAGGGGCCCCTGAGTACCTCAGGGTTAGGGAAGGAAGAGGCAGTTTCGGACATGGTCCTCTAATGGGAAGAGCAGTTGCAGTGGGATGCTTTGCCCTCACACACTGTGGCTTGGGGTGGTGCCTCTCCCTGAGGGAGAGCCCTGAGCTTGAGTGTTTGTTGTTTGGTTTTGAGGTAGGGTCTTGCCACATTATGTAGCCCAAGCTACATAACAGTATCAAACTCGCTACAAAACTCAGGCTGGCCTTGACCTTAGGATCTCCCTGAGTGCTGGGATATAGATTTATGCTACGACACTTGGCTTGAGCTGAGACTTCAAATGCCTCAGTTCCAGAACCTCAGCTGTGGGGCTGATGTCAAGAACTAGCTGTCTCTCTCCACACTTCTTTTTATCCCACTATGCAGGCTGCTTGGAGTCCCTTCTGCCACCCAGGACCAGTGGCCCTGTCTGGTGCAGGCCCAGGACAGGGGCTCAACAGGCTGAAAGGAGTGTTCTCCAAATTGACTGAGGAAGCATAGAGATGCAAAACTGCAGGAAGGGACAAACAGTATGGGGTCGGCACAGGTCAACTGAAAAGCAGCCCTGACATCATCGCTGACAGTGCTGGTCTATCATACTGCAGGCCTAGGCTGCAGTTTCACCAAGCACAAATTGTCTCTCAGACCCTTTCACATCCTGGTCCTTCTGGGCACTGGACAGGGCGGTAGCCACAGGAAGCTGCTTGCTCTCCACAGAGCTTGCCAGCATGGGTGAGTGGCATAGCAAAAGGCTACAATAAGTCTGAATCTTAAGAGTTGCCCCTGAAAACCACACCTGTAAGTCCTCTGGGGTGAACCAGCTGCCAGGAAGGACAGGGACTAATTTGTCTTGAGTGTTCCAGGACCACGAGTGAAGCAGAGGCCAGGCCTTCCTAGTTGCCACCAGCTAAGGTACAGCTCCAGGGAGCACTGGGTGAGCACGAAGCTTCCAGAGAGACATTGAACTATGGCCACTCCCTTTTTGGGGGGGGGGGGGGGGTCCAGTCATGGGCCTGAACTCTGGGCCTGGGCACTGTCCCTCAGCTCTTCAGCTCAAGGATAGCACTCTAACACTTGAGCCACAGTGCCACTTCCGGCTTTTTTCTTTTTGCTTATGTGGTGCTGAGGAATCGAACCCAGGGCCTCAGGCATGCAAGACAAGCGCTCAACCACTGAGCCACTTTCCCAGCCCCGGCCACTCCCTTTTCTAGAACCTCAGCAAGATGAATGCCCACACCCATCATGGGGCTGGGGCCTGTGGATGGGGTCACACCACTAGCAGCAACTGCTAGTGCAGAGGCCACCGCTGGCATAGCAGCAGGTAGCAGGGGCAGGCACTTCTAGGCCAAATTCAATTCCTCTACCGGAAGTAGGAACTTTTACCTTACTCCTCAAATTGGCTACAACATAGCTACTCAGGAGGCTGAGATCTGAGGATCGCGGTTCAGAGCCAGCCCGGGCAGGAAAGTCTGTGAGACTCTTATCTCCCATAAACCAGTAGAAAACCGGAAGTGGCGCCGTGGCTCAAGTGGTAGAGCACTCGCCTTGAGCTGAAGAGCTGAGGGACAGCGCCCAGGCCCAGAGTTCAAGCCCTACGACAAAAAAAAAAAAAAAAGACTACAACGGAACCAACCTTACACCCTGTGTAAGCCTGTCTGTCTTGCTACAAAGATTTAAGATTACTCCAACCATAGAACTACATCCAAGCACCTTACAGCTGAGAACACCAGGAGAGGTGACTCTGGGCCTTCCACCCTGTGGCGTAAGCAAAAGCAGCCCTGGCCAGCGCCGGAATAGGTGACGCAAAGAGCGGCTTCATGGACGTGGGCTTGGAAAGCCGGGCGCAGGCGGCTCACGCCTGTCTTCCTAGCTACTCAGGAGGCTGCGATCTGAGGACTGCGGTTCAAAGCCAGCCTGGGCAGGAAAGACCGTGAGACTGTCGGCCCAGCGAGCCCTGTCCACAGCGCGGTCCACCGCTCCCCTCCCCGCAGCGCCAGGCTCCCGTCCACACCGGGCCCTCCCCGCAGCGCCAGGCTCCCGTCCACACCGCCCCCCTCCCCGCAGCGCCAGGCTCCCGTCCACACCGCCCCCCTCCCCGCAGCGCCAGGCTCCCGTCCACACCGGGCCCTCCCCGCAGCGCCAGGCTCCCGTCCACACCGGGCCCTCCCCGCAGCGCCAGGCTCCCGTCCACACCGGGCCCTCCCCGCAGCGCCAGGCTCCCGTCCACACCGGGCCCTCCCCGCAGCGCCAGGCTCCCGTCCACACCGCCCCCCTCCCCGCAGCGCCAGGCTCCCGTCCACACCGCCCCCCTCCCCGCAGCGCCAGGCTCCCGTCCACACCGCCCCCCTCCCCGCAGCGCCAGGCTCCCGTCCACACCGCCCCCCTCCCCGCAGCGCCAGGCTCCCGTCCACACCGCCCCCCTCCCCGCAGCGCCAGGCTCCCGTCCACACCGGGCCCTCCCCGCAGCGCCAGGCTCCCGTCCACACCGCCCCCCTCCCCGCAGCGCCAGGCTCCCGTCCACACCGGACCCTCCCCGCAGCGCCAGGCTCCCGTCCACACCGGACCCTCCCCGCAGCGCCAGGCTCCCGTCCACACCGCCCCCCTCCCCGCAGCGCCAGGCTCCCGTCCACACCGCCCCCCTCCCCGCAGCGCCAGGCTCCCGTCCACACCCCCCCCCCTCCCCGCAGCGCCAGGCTCCCGTCCACACCGCTCCCCTCCCCGCAGCGCCAGGCTCCCGTCCACACCGCTCCCCTCCCCGCAGCGCCAGGCTCCCGTCCACACCGCTCCCCTCCCCGCAGCGCCAGGCTCCCGTCCACACCGCCCCCCTCCCCGCAGCGCCAGGCTCCCGTCCACACCGGGCCCTCCCCGCAGCGCCAGGCTCCCGTCCACACCGCCCCCCTCCCCGCAGCGCCAGGCTCCCGTCCACACCGGGCCCTCCCCGCAGCGCCAGGCTCCCGTCCACACCGGGCCCTCCCCGCAGCGCCAGGCTCCCGTCCACACCGGGCCCTCCCCGCAGCGCCAGGCTCCCGTCCACACCGCCCCCCTCCCCGCAGCGCCAGGCTCCCGTCCACACCGCCCCCCTCCCCGCAGCGCCAGGCTCCCGTCCACACCGCCCCCCTCCCCGCAGCGCCAGGCTCCCGTCCACACCGGGCCCTCCCCGCAGCGCCAGGCTCCCGTCCACACCGCTCCCATCCCCGCAGCGCCAGGCTCCCGTCCACACCGGACCCTCCCCGCAGCGCCAGGCTCCCGTCCACACCGCTCCCATCCCCGCAGCGCCAGGCTCCCGTCCACACCGGACCCTCCCCGCAGCGCCAGGCTCCCGTCCACACCGCCCCCCTCCCCGCAGCGCCAGGCTCCCGTCCACACCGGACCCCTCCCCGCAGCGCCAGGCTCCCGTCCACACCGCCCCCCTCCCCGCAGCGCCAGGCTCCCGTCCACACCGCCCCCCTCCCCGCAGCGCCAGGCTCCCGTCCACACCGGCCCCCTCCCCGCAGCGCCAGGCTCCCGTCCACACCGGGCCCTCCCCGCAGCGCCAGGCTCCCGTCCACACCGGCCCCCTCCCCGCAGCGCCAGGCTCCCGTCCACACCGGGCCCTCCCCGCAGCGCCAGGCTCCCGTCCACACCGGGCCCTCCCCGGCAGTGGCCGGCGCGGCCGCTCACCGCTCCCTCGTGAGCAGGGTCGGCGCCCCGGCCGCGGCCCCGCGCCCGGCGCGGGTCCCCACGCAGCCGGGAGTGGCGCTGGGGCTCAGACGGCCTTCCTCCGAGCGGCGGGGAGCCCGGGCTCCGGCCTCGCGCCCGAGGCCGGCCGCTGGCGGCGAAGCGCGCCGAGCCCTCCGGAGACGGGGCGGGGCGTGGCGGGCAGGCCAGGTGCACTGTGGGAGCGGCGCTGCTCGCGGGGTCGCTGGTCCGGCGCGGGGGTCTCCGAGCGCGCCCCCCTCACCCACGCGGAGCCCCCGGCGCGGCCCCGGCGCCTCCGGCCAGGAGGGAAAACAAACGCAGCCTCGCGAGAGTCGAGCTCGGGTGTCCCCGCTCGCCCCTCACGCGATTGGGCCGCGGTGTCAAGTGATCTCAGCCTCGCTCCTGGTTGGCTACCCGGGCGAGGGGCGGGCGCGCGGCGGGCGCCGAGTGGGTGGCCTGGCCGGCGAGGTCGCCGGGGGCGGCGGCGGCGGCGGCGGCTTCCCTCTCGCTTCCGGGCTGCGGCTGCGTTCTCCAGCCGCCGATGGGAGCCCCGCGCGCTGGAGATGCGGGCGGGCCGCGGTGAGGCGTCGGCGCGGGGCCTCTTCCGGGACTCCGCCTTCCCGGCCTCGGAGGCCTCTCTGTTTTCCAGCTTGTCCACGCCGCTGGCCCAGTTTCGGGAGGACATCACGTGGAGGCGGCCGCAGGTGCGGGGCGGGGCGGCCTCAGGGGCGGGGCGGGGCGGGACGGCCTCAGGGGCGGGGCGGGGCGGCCTCAGGGGCGGGGCGGGGCGGCCTCAGGGGCGGGGCGGGGCGGCCTCAGGGGCGGGGCGGGACGGCCTCAGGGGCGGGGCGGCCTCAGGGGCGGGGCGGGGCGGCCTCAGGGGCGGGGCGGCCTCAGGGGCGGGGCGGCCGCAGGGGCGGGGCGGCCTCAGGGGCGGGGGGGGGGGCCTCAGGGGCGGGGCGGCCTCAGGGGCGGGGCGGCCTCAGGGGCGGGGCGGCCTCAGGGGCGGGGGGGGGGGGGCCTCAGGGGCGGGGCGGCCTCAGGGGCGGGGCGGGACGGCCTCAGGGGCGGGGCGGGGCGGCCTCAGGGGCGGGGGGGGGGGGGGGGGGGCCTCAGGGGCGGGGCGGCCTCAGGGGCGGGGCGGCCTCAGGGGCGGGGCGGGGCGGCCTCAGGGGCGGGGTGGGACGGCCTCAGGGGCGGGGCGGCCGCAGGGGCGGGGCGGGGGGGGCCTCAGGGGCGGGGCGGGGCGGCCTCAGGGGTGGGACGGCCTCAGGGGCGGGGCGGCCGCAGGGGCGGGGCGGGGGGGGCCTCAGGGGCGGGGCGGCCTCAGGGGCGGGGCGGGACGGCCTCAGGGGCGGGGCGGGGCGGCCTCAGGGGCGGGGCGGGGCGGCCTCAGGGGTGGGACGGCCTCAGGGGCGGGGCGGCCGCAGGGGCGGGGCGGGGGGGGCCTCAGGGGCGGGGCGGCCTCAGGGGCGGGGCGGGGCGGCCTCAGGGGCGGGGCGGGGCGGCCTCAGGGGCGGGGCGGCCGCAGGTGCGGGGCGGGGCGGCCTCAGGGGCGGGGCGGGGCGGCCTCAGGGGCGGGGCGGCCTCAGGGGCGGGGCGGCCTCAGGGGCGGGGCGGCCTCAGGGGCGGGGCGGCCCCAGGGCAGCCTCAGGGGCGGGGCGGCCTCGGGGGCGGGGCGGCCTCGGGGGCGGGGCGGCCTCAGGGGCGGGGCGGCCTCAGGGGCGGGGCGGCCTCGGGGGCGGGGCGGCGTCAGGGGCGGGGCGGCCCCAGGGCAGCCTCAGGGGCGGGGCGGCCCCAGGGCAGCCTCAGGGGCGGGGCGGCCTCGGGGGCGGGGCGGCCTCGGGGGCGGGGCGGCCTCAGGGGCGGGGCGGCCTCAGGGGCGGGGCGGCCCCAGGGCAGCCTCAGGGGCGGGGCGGCCCCAGGGCAGCCTCAGGGGCGGGGCGGCCTCGGGGGCGGGGCGGCCTCAGGGGCGGGGCGGCCTCAGGGGCGGGGCGGCCTCGGGGGCGGGGCGGCCTGGGGGGCGGGGCGGCCTCGGGGGCGGGGCGGGGCGGCCTCAGGGGCGGGGCGGCCTCGGGGGCGGGGCGGGGCGGCCTCAGGGGCGGGGCGGGACGGCCTCAGGGGCGGGGCGGCCTCAGGGGCGGGGCGGCCTCAGGGGCGGGGCGGCCCCAGGGCAGCCTCAGGGGCGGGGCGGCCTCGGGGGCGGGGCGGCCTCAGGGGCGGGACGGCCTCGGGGGCGGGGCGGGGCGGCCTCGGGGGCGGGGCGGCCTCAGGGGCGGGGCGGCCTCGGGGGCGGGGCGGGGCGGCCTCGGGGGCGGGGCGGGGCGGCCTCAGGGGCGGGGCGGGGCGGCCTCAGGGGCGGGGCGGGGCGGCCTCGGGGGCGGGGCGGGGCGGCCTCGGGGGCGGGGCGGGGCGGCCTCAGGGGCGGGGCGGGGCGGCCGGCCTGCGCTCTCAGGTGCGTGGGGTGGGGGGGGGCTTTCCGCCCTCCACTGCGTCTGTCTGTTCCGGGCCGCCCGACCATGTGGCCCTGGAACAATCCGCACTAAAGTCCTCCGCGGCCAGAGTTCAAGGGGAGGGCGTGCGGCGGGCGCAGGCGCAGGGCTCCGCTCCGCTCTGCGCTGGGCCGGGGCCCCGCCCACAGGCGGTGCCACAGCGCGCATGCGCGTTCAGCAGCTCGGCTCACACTGGAGTCCTGGTTTTGCCCTTGCCCACCTGCGTCCCGGCGGACTGTTTCGAGTCTCCAGGTCCGAGAGTTGGCCAGACCGAGGCCGGGTCGTCCAGCGAGCAGAGCGCGGTGGGAAAGCCCGAGAGGCCGCCGTCCCCGCGGCGGGGGCTCCGGAGCCATCTGCCCTTGCGGGGTAGACAGGAAGTGGGGGCCACCCACAGACGGGGAGGGAGGGAGCTGACTTGTCTCAGGTGTAGGCCACCGACCGGTGTGACACGGAGTCCCCGAACAGCTCCCTACCGGCCGCGGCTCCTCCTGCGCCTGCGCCTGCGCCCCGGGCCGCGGGCTCTTCCCGCGCCTGCGCCCCGGGCCGCGGGCTCCTCCTGCGCCTGCGCCTGCGCCCCGGGCCGCGGGCTCCTCCTGCGCCTGCGCCCGCGCGTGTCCTGTACCTAGGAAGGTCCAGGCTGACGCCACCTACCCCGCTTTGGAAAAGGTGGTTTCAAATGTTGTACACTTGAATTTTTTGTAAAGGTTTTTAAAACAAAACGCTGGCCTGGCCTAGGGCTCTGTTGCTTTTGTTGTGAAAGGCAGAGGAAGGAGCTTCAGTGTGTGTGATGGGCAGCCATCCGGAAACGGGCCGGGAGCAAGGCCTGCAGAGGCAAAGAGCCCTAGTCACAGGCCTGTTCCTGTGGGTCACTGTATCAGTCCTTGTGTTGGGAGGGCTTGATTTTAGAAGTGGTTTATGTGCTAAGAATGACCACCAAATTGTGTAGTTCAACGTAGTGTCTGGTCACTACCACTGCTGGCACTTTCTTTCAGAGTGCATTGTTTATTAGTGTACAAGGGGGGAGGTTCGAGTATACAATGTATCCCAATCAACCTCATGCCCTATCACGGCCATCCCTTAAACACATTTCACTGGGTTTAGTTGTTCTGTTTTCATGCATGCAAACTACTTCAGCCGTGCCCACTTCCTCATTTGTCCATCATGCCAGCCCTCCCAACCCCTTCCCACAAGTGCCCCTCCAGCAGAGCCTGTCTTACTTTGCTCTCCTTCATTCTTTGTATATAGTAATTGCACCGAGGTTTTATCATGGAATTTCAGATGTTGATATATTTTCTTTGAGGGGGGGGGAGGGTCCGGTCATGGGGCCTGAACTCTGGGCCTGGGTGCTGTCCCTCAGCTCTTCAGCTCAAGGCTAGCACTCTACCACTTGAGCCACAGCACCACTTCCGGCCTTTTTCTTTTTGCTTATGTGGTGCTGAGGAATCGAACCCAGGGCCTCAGGCATGCAAGGCAAGCACTCTACCTCTGAGCCACCTTCCCAGCCCAATATATTATCTTCTGCTCTGAATAACTCTGTTCTCCCCTGCCAGGCCCCTGTTGATCAATAGCTTTCATAGATTCTTTATGCCATTGTTAATCTTTCTATTTTGGCCAAATGCCATTTTATATCATAGCCATGTGAGGGTATCACCTATTCATAATAAACAGGCAAGGAAAAGAAGAGGAATGAAAGTGTTTCATGTGAGGATGCAGGCACCCCTTGTTAATCGTGGAGAGGGGTGATGGGCCCAAGCTAGGATGGGCCTTTGGTGGGGACAGGTTTGTGGATACTTTGTGAGGAGGGTTGACAAGGTTTGGTAGAGGGTGAGGCTGAAGGAAGGATCAGGAATGACTTGGTGGGTTGTGAGGACAGTCCTGGGCAGAGCCAGGGCTCTAGAATTGAGTTTGTCTCCCCTGTACAAGCAGAGCTGTCACAAAGGCAGCTCAGGAGTGCAGGAAGAGCTAAGCCTTCCTTTGGGCATGAATATTGTAGGTGGTTTATAGTCCAGGACCTTGAAGAGCATCTTGGGACAGGTAGAGTGAGGGGTGGGAGGTGGCCAGAGGCTGAGCATTGAGGAGCCCAGCATGTGTGGGGCATGCAGGAGTTCCAACAGGACAAGCAGGCTGCGAAGGGAGAACAAGGGAGGAGCGTGGGATCATGGGAGTAGAGAGACGAAAGCCCAGGAGGAGCATGGGATCATGGGAGTCCAGGGTCGAGAACACGGGAGGAATGTGTGGGATCATGGGAGTCGAGGGTCGAGAACACGGGAGGAATGTGGGATCATGGGAGTCGAGGGTCGAGAACACGGGAGGAATGTGTGGGATCATGGGAGTCCAGGGTCGAGAACACGGGAGGAATGTGGGATCATGGGAGTCCAGGGTCGAGAACACGGGAGGAATGTGTGGGATCATGGGAGTCCAGGGTCGAGAACACAGGAGGAATGTGGGATCATGGGAGTTGAGGGATGAGAACACAGGAGCGTGGGATCATGGGAGTTGAGGGACGAGAGCAGGAGGAGCGTGGGATCATGGGAGTCGAGGGTCGAGAACACAGGAGCGTGGGATCATGGGAGTCGAGGGTCGAGAACACGGGAGGAATGTGTGGGATCATGGGAGTCGAGGGTCGAGAACACGGGAGGAATGTGTGGGATCATGGGAGTCGAGGGTCGAGAACACGGGAGGAATGTGTGGGATCATGGGAGTCCAGGGTCGAGAACACGGGAGGAATGTGTGGGATCATGGGAGAGTCGAGGGTCGAGAACACGGGAGGAATGTGGGATCATGGGAGTCGAGGGTCGAGAACACAGGAGCGTGGGATCATGGGAGTTGAGGGACGAGAGCAGGAGGAGCGTGGGATCATGGGAGTTGAGGGAGGAGAACACAGGAGGAATGTGGGATCATGGGAGTTGAGGGAGGAGAACATGGGAGGAGCGTGGGATCATGGGAGAGTCGAGGGTCGAGAACACGGGAGGAGCGTGGGATCATGGGAGTCGAGGGTCGAGAACACAGGAGGAATGTGTGGGATCATGGGAGTCGAGGGTCGAGAACACGGGAGGAATGTGGGATCATGGGAGTCGAGGGTCGAGAACACGGGAGGAGCGTGGGATCATGGGAGTCGAGGGTCGAGAACACGGGAGGAGCGTGGGATCATGGGAGTTGAGGGAGGAGAACATGGGAGGAGCGTGGGATCATGGGAGTCGAGGGATAAGAACACGGGAGGAGCGTGAGTGGGATCATGGGCAGGGACAGCTAGCTGTTCTGAAGCTGCCAGACGAACAGAACAGGAATGTACCATGGGATTTGGCACTGTGGAGATGGTGCTGGTGACCATATTCCCATATGGTTGACTCAGAAGCCAGAGGGGTCCACAGCTCTCCTGAGAAGCTGCCATGGGGGGTGCCCAGGTCAGCACATAGTGCCAAAGAAGAAGGATATGTCCAGAAGCAGGTATTCTGTCCTGCCGTGCATGGAGAATCGTGACAGGAGTAGAGGCCTGTGTCGTGGGAAGGGGAGGTCTGGTGCTAGAGGAGGAAGAGCGTCAGGTCCCATTCTGGTGAAGGCGGCCAGGTTGGTACCTCAGGCATTTGGACAAAGGAAGCATGAATGTTTTCAGGAGGAAGGCAAGGTCTAAGGGAGTGTGGGGAGTGGGAAATTTGTATGTAGGATTTCCTGAGAGAGTGAGGACCCATGAGAGATTGGGCATCACAAATCTCTAAAGCAAAACTAGTTAAGCCAGCACTTAGTTGTTTGAAACAAGAGGATGGTAAGCGTCATCTAGAACTAGGTACTGGTGATTCACGCCTGTAATCCTAACTGCTCAGGAGGCTGAGATTTGAGGATCATGTTTCAGGCAGGAAAGTTTGAGACATCTCCAATGAACAAAGAGCTGCAAGAGAGTGGTAGAGCACTAGCCTTGAGCACGAAAGGTCATAGGCTTGGCACCACAAAAGACTCATGCATAGTTCAGTTTCACCAGTAAGGATAGTGGACAGAGATGACCCCCCCCCAACCTGAGCTGGATCGGGGTCTGGAGCCAGGAGATGCTGAGGGACAGTGCTTGGGGGAGCTGCGTCTTTCCCTTCCCTCCCCCCGCGTGGGGAGCTCATGTGGTCACAAAGCTACTCCTGCCTTGTCACTTTCACCCCTTGGGTTCTTAGTTTAAAGATGAGCTGCCAGGCTTAGTCTAACTCTGGACAGTGTTCTTTATTTCAGGAAATCTGTGCAACACCCCGACTGTTTCCAGATAACCCAGGGGAAGGACAGGTGAAGCAAGGGCTGCTGGGGGATTGCTGGTTCCTGTGTGCCTGTGCGGCCTTACAGAAGAGTCAGCACCTCCTGGACCAGGTACGGGCCAAAGGCCTCCCTCTGCAGCTCCCCCTGCCTGCTGAGCTCAGGGAGCTCTTGCCAGAGCAGAGCCCCATGTGAGCCAGTCGCTGGCTGCTCTCCCGACCTGCGCTCTGTCGCGAGCAGGTAGAGGGGTGTAGGAGCAGGACCAAGCCTGCAGGTACCCTGGGAGGCTCTGCCCGGCTCTGAGATCTTCCAGGTCCTGGATTTTGGTGCTGGGCACATAGCACGGGGTTGGCAGAGGGCTTCCGTGTGGCCACTTTAGAGTATGTGACCTCAGAGAGTTAAGATTTTTTTTTACTGTGGAGAGGCCTTCATGGTGTCTTCCCTCGGGGCCCGGGCTGCGTTGGGGCCCACGTGCTGCCGAGGCCTTTCAGTGCACGGCCCTGGGGCAGGGGCCGGAGCACAGCACGCCTCCGCCGCCTCACACCCCTCCCATTGCACCTGCTTTTGCACACGGGTGCCTATGTCTCTCCCTGTCCTGAGTGAAGGCCGCCCTGACTTCCTGTTGTGGGGACTGGCACCCCGAAGGAACGAGCAATGGGCACAGTGGGCCTGCTGGCTGGCCAGCCCTAATCTGTCGCCTGTGTGCAGCCAACTCTGTCCAGAACTGGATCGGTTTTGCCTGCCAAAGTTGCGCTTTAGATTTAGGTCGAGTGCTTATTTGGGACATGGTTAACAAAGCGGTTGATCTGAAGCTTTGGGGAGTTTGGGTCCTGCAGGGCAGTCCTGAGCTATTTCAGTGGAGAGCATGGCTGTCTGTTCTGTGACGTGGATGTGTAGCTGCTGCACCCAGCGGAACCCGTGCCCTCGGCAGGCAGGGTGTCAGGGGTGCGGGTGATGCCTGTCTTCTCCGGCTCTGAGGAGTGGGGGATGCCTGCCTTTCATGCTCTCCTTCTGCTCCTCCTTGTGCATGCTAGGTCTTCCCTCCGGGACAGCCGAGCTGGTCCGACCAGACGTACCGTGGCCTCTTCGCCTGTCGAATCTGGCGGTTTGGATGCTGGCAGGAGGTGACGGTAGATGACCGTCTGCCTTGTCTTGCAGGGAGACTCTGCTTCTCCCGGTGCCAGAGAGAGGATGTCTTCTGGCTTCCCTTACTGGAAAAGGCCTATGCCAAGTAAGTGTGCTCTGCAGAGGTGATGGGGCGGGCGGGGCGGCCCTGGTGCTGCTCCGGGGGGCCTGGGACACCTGCCCGGGCCGCCCGGTGTTGCCAATACACGGGGCCTGGCAGCCAGACTGTGGGTCTGCGGGGACCTGTGGTTTGCTCTTCCCTGTCCCTTTTTTCACGGTCCAGCAGTCACTGCCTCTGCATGGAGAAGGTGGGCAGGTCCGCCCTCCCCAGACCCTGCAGAACAACGCCTCTGTGCATCGTTGAGCATCCAGGCAGGCTGGCTGCCGGGTGGGGGAGGAGTGAGCCATGTGTGTGCCATCACGCGCTTGGCTTGTCCTGCGCGTGAGTCCCAGCTAACACAGCCAACGGTGTCTGGCTGAGGGAGGCCGACGGGAAAATGAGAAAATGGGCCCTTTACTTTGAGCCTTGCCCACCCTGGCAGGACGGTGTGAACGTGGGTAGAGACCAGCAGGACGGTGTGAACGTGGGTGGAGACCAGCAGGACGGTGTGAACGTGGGTGGAGACCAGCAGGACGGTGTGAACGTGGGTGGAGACCAGCAGGACGGTGTGAACGTGGGTGGAGACCAGCAGGACGGTGTGAACTTGGGTGGAGACCAGCAGGACGGTGTGAACGTGGGTGGAGACCAGCAGGACGGTGTGAACTTGGGTGGAGACCAGCAGGACGGTGTGAACGTGGGTGGAGACCAGCAGGACGGTGTGAACGTGGGTGGAGACCAGCAGGACGGTGTGAACGTGGGTGGAGACCAGCAGGACGGTGTGAACGTGGGTGGAGACCAGCAGGACGGTGTGAACTTGGGTGGAGACCAGCAGGACGGTGTGAACGTGGGTGGAGACCAGCAGGATGGTGTGAACGTGGGTGGAGACCAGCAGGATGGTGTGAACGTGGGTGGAGACCAGCAGGATGGTGTGAACGTGGGTGGAGACCAGCAGGATGGTGTGAACGTGGGTAGAGACAGACCAGTAGGATGGTGTGAACGTGGGTGGAGACCAGCAGGGTGGTGTGAACGTGGGTGGAGACCAGCAGGGTGGTGTGAACGTGGGTGGAGACCAGCAGGACGGTGTGAACGTGGGTGGAGACCAGCAGGACGGTGTGAACGTGGGTGGAGACCAGCAGGATGGTGTGAACGTGGGTGGAGACCAGCAGGATGGTGTGAACGTGGGTGGAGACCAGCAGGGACATAGCAGACTATGGCAATTGCAGGCGAGCCCAAGCCTCAATTCACCAAAGATATGGTGGGAGGTCAGAGGCATGGAAGCGGGGTCAGTGTGTCAAGGACCTTGTAGTGGCGCAGGCAGACCTGATGGTCAGACCCGCTCCTGTGTGTGGTCCCCTAGGGTCCATGGCTCCTATGAGCGCCTGTGGGCAGGGCAGGTAGCAGACGCCCTTGTGGACCTCACCGGGGGCCTGGCCGAACGGTGGAGCCTGAAGGACGTGGCAGGCAGCTGCGGTCAGCAGGATGCAACCCAGGCCGGGAGCCCCAGGACTTGTCGGCAGCTCCTGCGCCTGAAGGACCAGTGTCTGATCAGCTGCTCGGTGCTTAACCCCAGAGCAGGTAAGGCACTTGGCAGGGCCCCTCCCGCCCTGCTTGAGATACCCTGAATGAAGTGGAACAGGAAGTCAGAAGGCTGTCCTTGAGGGAGCAGTCCTGAGCTGGCGACCTCCCTCTTCTGTCTCAGAGAGAGCTGACCCTCCCCTTCCTCCACCAGTCTTTTCTGTTAGAGCAAGACAGGACCACCATCATGGTCCCTTGCCTCCCAGAGACAGCTGGGAAGCGAGGCGGCCTGACAGGGCTCACGCCCCTACTCCTTAAACCCGCCCATTAGGGTTCGTTAAGGGAAGTTTGCAAGTGAAGAAAGAAGGCCAGCAAGGTGGCTCACACCTGTAATCCCAGCTACTTGGAAGGTAGAGATGAGGGAGTGAAGGGTACAATCCTGATTCGAAGCCAGCCCAGGCAAAACACCAGCAAGACTCCATCTCAGCAAAAAATGTGAATGTGCTGATCCTCACCCGTGGTTCTGGTGTGGGAGGGACAGAGGAGGAGGTCAGAGTCTGAGGCCAGCCCAAGCAAACACGGGAGGCCCTATCTGGGAAATAACTAAAGCAAAAAGGGCAGGAAAGATGGGAGGGCTAATTGCAGTGCAGAGCCTGCCTGGCAAGCAGATGCCCCAGGCTCAAATCCTACGATTGCCCAAACTAAAGAGGAAAGAACTCACTGAAAACCATCGGTGGCTTTTCCATCTACCTCTCTGTTTTCTGTAAACGTATGTGCATTTCCGTTCTGTTTCTTTGCTACTACATAAGCTTTAACGTCTTATTTCATTTGTGGACCTGATGGCTTTCTTAATCCTCCTGTTGTTGGATGCCTAGTCTTTCTGGTAATTAAAAGTAACACCACAGTGAATTTTTTTTTCCCGGTCATGGGACTTGAATTCTAGTCCTGGGTGCCTTGAGCTCTTCAGCTCAAGGTTAGTGTTCTAATACTTGAGCCACAGCATGTCTTGAGATAAGCATCTCCCAGACTTTCCTGCCCAGGCTGGCTTTGAACCTCGATCCTCAGATCCCAGCCTCCTGAGTAGCTAGGATGACGGGCCTGAGCCAATGGCTCCTGGTACCACAGTGAATTTTTTATTCACACTCAGGACTTTTTCCCTGATCCAACTTTGGTTCATTAACATGAACATAAAAGCAGCACGTGCGAGCCGCCGAGTGCCTCTGCCAGCGTGTCAGCCCCTGTCTCCTCTCCTGGGGCCAGGCACTGCCGGAGGCAGGAGGAGACGCAGACGCTGGTCTCTCCTTCAGAGAGAGAGAGCTGGCTGAGGAGCCTGGCTCCCAGCCATTGGTTCTGGGGCGGCCACCTCAAGGGTGGACGGGCTGTGCCTGACACGTGCAGAGGGCTGCTGGCGTGTCCAGGGCCCAGACACTGGGGCTCCCACGGCGGCTGCAGGGCTGCCTCCCCAGATCGACACCACTCTGCCAAGTGAGAGTCTCAGGGCCTCCAGTCCTCCTTGGTTGGGGTCTGAGTGCCCCGAGTTCGGCTGGTTTGCCTGGAGGAGGGCCAGCTCTCCTGGTTACTCACAGCTGCAGCCCCATCGCCGACAGCAGTCATGCATGCTTGAAGACTGGTCTGCACAGGCCCTGCATGGTAACAGCTGAAGCCCAGAGAAGGAAATGGTCGCGCAGAACCAGTCCCCAGGGGCAACAAGCCAGGGCTGCCTCTCGGCCCTTCCCCATGGCACACAGTGCTGTGCTGCAGAGGCCGGCAGAGCAACTGGCCTGTGGCCCAGGGCCGAGCTCGTCTTGAGGGACCTGAGTCCGCCAGCAGCCAGGGCCGAGAGGGCTGCTCGGCGGGCAGTCGGCAGGCCGCGCGGCTGTTCCACACACAGGTGCCAGGGAGCTGGGGGAGTTCCACGCCTTCATCATCTCAGATCTGCGAGAGCTCCGGAGCCGGGCCAGCCAGGGCACCCTGCTGCTGAGGATCCAGAACCCCTGGGGCCGCAGCTGCTGGCAGGGGCTGTGGAGAGAGGGGTGAGTGCCAGACCCGTGCTGGCGGGAGGAGGTGGTGTTGAGACGCCCCGGCCTGCGCTCGGTCACTTCAGTTCACACCGTCATGCTTCCGTGTGGGCTTTGGAGGCCCGAGACCATGCTCTCCTTGGTCTGAGAGTTTTCAGGGACACCCCCAGGGTGGTGTGTACCTGGCCAGACGTTTGGCTGCGTAGGGACGGGGGTTGCCTGTAGCTACAGTCCTCAGCTCACTAAGACTCAACCAGCACCTCCTTAAGTCCTGAGAGCTCTGAGGCTCTTGGACCATGACCACCCCGTTGAGCCCGGGCAGGGCCGGGCACTGAGCAAACAGCATGGTTCTCGGTGAGGTTATACGGGCTCCACAGAGCACAGAGTCAGAGTCCAGACTGACTGTCCTGGGAAGATAGCTCTAGAGGCAAGAGCACCCCTGAAGGACGAGGCACCCATGGGGGCAGAGCGCCCCGTTGTGCAGGTGCAGGGCTAGAGGTTTTGGTGGGTGTCTGCAGCACAGAGAACCCACGCAGGGACCTCAGCCCGGAGGGGTCTGTGGGGCTGGGCAGCCCTGGAGTGTGGGAATTCAGGGCAGCCCAGCCTCCTCTGCCTTGGTTGTCAGCTCCGCTGACGTGAGGCTCCCTGCAGGGGCGAAGGATGGAAGCAGGTGGAGCCGGGGGAGCAGGCGCAGCTCCTGGCGCAGCTCCAGGAAGGGGAGTTCTGGGTGGAGGAGGAGGAGTTCCTCAGGGAGTTTGACGAGGTCACCATCAGCTACCCAGTCACAGAGGCTGGCCACCTGCAGAGTCTCTACACAGGTAGGGGCCTCTGACGTGGAGAGACTGAACAGGGGGGTGGATCCCACGTGCTGACCCATGCGGGGAGATGGGGCCCCAAGAGGGCTGAGCCGGGGGCGCCGGCCCCGAGCTGATGCCAGTGCTTTCCTACTAGAGAAGGTGCTTTGCCATGCACGGGCCCTGCCTGGGGCCTGGGTCGCAGGGCGGTCGGCCGGAGGCTGCCGGAACAACAGTTGCTTCCCCTGCAACCCCAAGTTCTGGCTGCGGCTGGCCGAGCCCAGCGAGGTGTGCGTGGCCGTCCTGCAGAGACCCCGCGAGGCGAGCCTGGCCGTCCCGCAGAGGCCCCGCGAGCCTGGGACCGGCCCAACCCGGGCCAGCCATGGCCAGGTCTACCAGGCTGTGGGCCTGCACCTGTGGAAGGTAACTTCCCTGGGGCCCTGGGTGGCCCAGGAGGAACACCCTCGCACACAGGTCCCCGCACCCCTTGGGCTGCCAGCCCCCGTCTCCCAGACCCTGCTCTCAGCTTCTCCACCCGACCCTGGGTGCCCCGCTGGCCCTGCCCCTGCATCCTTCCTGGGTCTCTGGCCTGCAGTCCCCGTCCCCCGCCATGGTGATCCAGACATTCAGCTGGGGACACTCAGCCTGACGTGCGCATCCGCCAGTCCATCAGTGTAGCGGGGCTAGAGCAAGCAGGTCAGGGAGCCACTGCTCGCTCTTGAAGGCTGGTAATCTGTGTGACAGACAGCTCTCACGTCCAATCCATGGCCTGTGTCACGGGCCTTCCTCTTGCAAAAGAAGTTGCTGGGAGTTTGTCCAGGCTTTTTGGAGCATGGCTCTGTGTAGATGCTGAGTGGGTGGGGGCTCTGCCTGGTAGCTCCGGGCCCCTGTGCACGCAGGGAAGCAGAGGATGGCCTCCCCTGTGGTGTTGCAGGTGGAGCAGCGGCGGGTGAGTCTGCCCCGCGTCCTGTCTGCGCCCCCGGTGGCCGGAACGGCGTGTCACACCTATGACCGCGAGGTCCACCTGCGCTGCCAGCTGTCCCCAGGCTTCTACCTGGCAGTGCCCAGCACTTTCCTGAAGGACGTGCCAGGGCAGTTCCTGCTCCGGGTCTTCTCCACTGGGAAGGTTTCCCTCAGGTGAGGAGCGGGTGCCCGCAGCTCTCCTTGTGCTGGGCTGAGGCCCCCTCCGCGACAGGGTCGTCTCTGAGCGCGCCTCTGCCTGTTTCCCGTAGTGCTGTCAGGCCCGTGGCCAAGGGGGCCTCCCCCAGAACAGCGCAGCCTGCTGGCGAGTGGGAGACGGTGCAGCTGCGGGGGCTCTGGAGAGCCGGACAGACGGCCGGGGGCAGCAGGAACTTTGCCTCCTACCCCTGCAACCCTTGCCTCCCGTTCTCCGTCCCCGAGGGTGCCGGTCCCCGCTGTGTCCGCATCACCCTGTGCCAGCACTGCCAGCTTGGTGACAGCCAGCTCTACCCCATTGGCTTCCACGTCTTCCAGGTTTGTGGCCTTTGCTCGCTGTGACTCCAGGCCTGGCCATCTGGCCGCCTGGTCTCATAAAAGACTTATCTGTAGCTCCCATGAAGTCCTTAGGCCCAGAGTGAGCCAAGGCAGCCCTTGGCCACCCACCTACCCTGGCTCAGAGCGGACCTTCCACTCTCCCCTGCAGCTGCTCTGGAGACCTGGGCGGAGGCCAGCCTCACCACAGGGTGGGGGTGTGTGGCCCCAGAGCAGGACCCCAGGGCGATCCTGGCAGGCTGCTCAGCAGGGGAAGGAGGCAGCTGGGGAGGCCACACCCAGGGAACATGCCAGAAGTATTGGCCACACAGCCCCATCAGCAACATGACAAATTGCCTGCCAGCCATAAGCCACTGTGGTCAGAGAGCCTAGAGGATTCCATATAGACTCCACCAGGGGGGAGGAGCTCTGGGGTTCAGGGGTCTACATCAGGCCCAGGCACCCCGAGGGGTCACTGGACGGGTAGTGAAGGGTCAGGAGAAGGCCATGCCCAGGGGCCCCACACCTGGGGTCCTGCTGGCCCCAGGGGCGTCCTGGGCCGCTAGGGTGGGGTTGGAGGCACGTGCACACCACCCTGGGACTGGGGCTTCTGTGTCCCTTGGGAATGGTAGCCAGTGCTTCCAGAGAAGGAGGGAGACTTCTAGAACCCTGTCCCCAGTCACCTGCCTCAGGCACCCGGAGCCCTGAGTAGAGTGCCAGAACTTGGGGTCCTATCAGAGCATGCCAAGGCAGAAGCCAGAGTATAAATACTCCATAAAACAGAACCTTGGTCACCCTCCGGGCTTGGACACTGTTCAAGGATGGCTCCTCTGAAGTGCTGGGCCTGGTGTCAGCCTGTCAGTTCCTCCTAGAAGAAGGGAGCATGTGACTCAGGAGGATTGGGGGCATCAGGTTCCAGAAGTCCAAGCAGGCTGACCAGACAGCCCTCCGCTGGGCCTGGGCAGAGGGAATGCCTGCAGCACCCCGTGCAGACCCCCAGACTGACTCGTCACCCGCCAGGTCCCCTCAGGTGGTGTGAGCCAGGACACGCGCGCGCTGCTGCTCCAGGAGCCTTTGCTGAGCTGTGTGCCACACCGCTATGCGCAAGAAGTCGGCCGGCTCTGTCTCCTGTCTGCGGGCGCCTACAGAGTGGTGCCCTCCACCTATCTGCCAGACGCCGAGGGGGCCTTCACCGTCACCATAGCCATCCGGATAGACAGGTGGGGTCCGGGGTCTCCGTGGGCGTGAGTGCTCGGCCTTTCCCAGTTGGCACCGGAGGTGGGCATGTGCACCTGGGAGCTCCTGGGGGTGTGCCGAGAGCAGATCTCAGGGCTGACCCGGCTCTCTCCACAGGCGGTCCATTCACAGCCAGGAGATGCTGGGCCAGGCCCTCCAGGAGGTGTGTATGAAGCGTCCCTCGACATTTCCCTCCTGGCTCACCTGCCCGTGGCCAGCTGGTGGGGATCTTAATTCCTTCAGTACCCCCCCCAGCCATCCTGCTGCAGATGATCTCTGGGACATGGGGTGCCCTCTCATGAGAGCCACAGGGCAGGGAGAGAGACTGGGTCTGTCTTGTTCCTTGGGGTTGGAGGGCCAAGGAAGGCTGGACCTTTGCCGCTCCTTTGCAGGTCTCCGTCGTGGCGGTGATGAAAACCTGACTGGCGTCCCTGTGTGCCGGCCGGCGGCACAGAGCCACGTTGGTGCCTGCAGCCTCTGCCCTAGAGCCCCAGCCCTGGCGTCCTGCCAGGAGAGGGGCCGGCCGAGCCCAGCAGCGGCTGCAGGAAGGGCAAGGCCTCAGGTGGCATCTTTGTTCCAACCAGAGACTGCAAGACTCCCAGACCCCAGAGATGAGGCTGGAGAGTTCCCAGGACCCTCCCAGCTCTCTCTCCTTCCCCGCGGGAGCAGGCGTGGCAGGCGCCACTGGAAACTGTGTCCACTGAAACATTTTTAGGGTGTGGTTTTATAATAAAGGAGTGACTGAGATGGTCTGCAGGGTCCACCATTGAGTCAGCTTCCAGTGCGCAGGTGTGGGGCAGAGCCGTCGCCTCCCGCGGCGTGGCGGTGCTGCCTCTGCCCCAGTGCTGCCATTCCCGCCCCACACCGCCGTGTCCACCACACACCGCCACCGCTGCCGTGTCCACCACACACCACCACCGCCGTGTCCACCACACCACCACCGCCGTGTCCACCACACACACCACCACTGCCGTGTCTGCCCCACACCACCACTGCCGTGACCACCACACACACCACCACTGCCGTGTCCACCACACACACCACCACTGCCGTGTCCACCACACCACCACTGCCGTGTCCACCACACCACCACCACCACTGCCGTGTCCACCACACACACCACCACTGCCGTGACCACCACACACACCACCACTGCCGTGACCACCACACACCACCACCACTGCCGTGTCCACCACACACACCACCACTGCCGTGACCACCACACACACCACCACTGCCGTGTCCACCACACCACCACTGCCGTGTCCACCACACACACCACCACCGCCGTGTCCACCACACACCACCACCGCCGTGTCCACCACACACCACCACCGCCGTGTCCACCACACATACCACCACTGCCGTGTCCACCACACCACCACTGCCGTGTCCACCACACACACCACCACCGCCGTGTCCACCATACACCACCACCGCCGTGTCCACCACACACCACCACCGCCGTGTCCACCACACACCACCACCGCCGTGTCCACCACACATACCACCACTGCCGTGTCTGCCCCACACCACCACCGCCGTGTCCACCACACACCACCACCGCCGTGTCCACCACACACCACCACCACTGCCGTGTCCACCACACACCACCACCGCCGTGTCCACCACACACCACCACTGCCGTGTCCACCCACACCACCACCACTGCCGTGTTCACCACACACCACCACCGCCGTGTCCACCACACACCACCACCGCCGTGTCCACCACACACCACCACCGCCGTGTCCACCACACACCACCACCGCCGTGTCCGCCACACATACCACCACCGCCGTGTCCGCCCCACACCACCACCGCCGTGTCCGCCACACACCACCACCGCCGTGTCCGCCACACACCACCACCACTGCCGTGTCCACCACACACCACCACTGCCGTGTCCACCACACACCACCACTGCCGTGTCCACCCACACCACCACCACTGCCGTGTCCACCACACACCACCACTGCCGTGTCCACCACACACCACCACCACTGCCGTGTCCACCACACACCACCACCGCCGTGTCCACCACACACCACCACTGCTGTGTCCACCACACACCACCACTGCCGTGTCCGCCCCACACTGCCACCCCATCCTCTCCCAGTGGTGTATGGCTTCTGATGGAGAAGGGCCGCCCTCCAGGCTCTGCTTTTCTGGGTTGGAACCTTGTTGCCCTGGTGACTTGGCCCTGTGTGGTGGGGGTGTCATCAGCTTTACTACAAGACAGCCAGCAGTGACGAGCCCGAGTGCAGCTAAGGCCTCGGGACGGTGTGAGCCAGGCCTGCTGTGGAAACAAGCCTCGCGGGTCTCCCTAAGCAGCCAGGCCGGCCCGAGCCTCCCGGAGCGCCGGGCAGAGGCCTCCTGGCTCCTGTCTGCAGCTCTGTGTCTCCACACAGCGCTCTCCAGCACCCTGGGGCCAGCACCCTGGGGCCGTCGGCAGGGGCATCCACACACCATGTTCCAGGCCCTCCGGCAACAGCAGAGCGAATGTAGCAATTAGACAAGAAGGATCAGGACCTTGAGCAAATGTTGTGATTGGCTGGAAGGACCCTCACCTTGGGCAGATTTAGTGGCAGGACCAGGAGGACCATGGCTTAGTCCAGGGCATGCTGTGTCTCACACGTGTGATAGAATGCCATCACCGTGGGCAGTGGGTGACCCAGCTTTGGTGTGCAGATTCTGCAGGAAAATAGGCTGGAGCAAAATGTGGGGCGAAGAGTTTGCATGGAAGGCGGAAGTAAAACTGACGTGGCAGAAGTCTGCCGTGGGTGCGGGGCCCGGCTCCGCGGTCCTGCGGAGGACTTGGGACCCTTGAGGCCAGCCTGAGAATTCCTCAAGTGTCCCCAGGCCAGCCACTCTCCTCCAGGCCAGCAGGCCTCCTCTCCACTGCCCCTTCCCTTCCAGCACATCTCTTCAGACAGTAGCCCGAGGAAGGCTGACGTGAACCCCTAAGAAGAGACTCCGGGGCTAAAAGCTTCCAGGAAGGACCTCGGGTGGCCTCAGGCTGGCCTCTGGAGAGACAAGCAGGAGTAGTTGGCTGCAGGCTCTCAGCATCCATTTGAAAAGCAGCTGCTACACGGCATAAACAGGTCTGCTGTGCCATCCAGACCCCATCGGTCCCCAGCTCCAGCGCCATGCTCGCCGGGGGCACAGCCAGCTCGCCGGCCACAGGCACCTGCTCAGTGTGGTGAAGGAGAGGCCGCGGGGAAGGAAGGGCTGAGAAGCGGGGATGCTGCTCACCCACCTCTAGAGGGCGCTGCGCCCCAGCCCCGCACTGAGCCCCGTCTCAGCAAGTCCAGCTCGCGAGCTCCCGCAGCCTCCTGGACCACATGGAAATAGAGCAAGCCCTTGGGATGCCGTGGCTCCTCCCAGGGGGGTGCACTTGTCCACACCCGCCCTCCCCTGGGCCTCTGCGTATGTCACATAATTTATGAACAAGACAGTTGTGGAGGCTCAAAGTCCAAGACCAAGGCCCAGGGGAGTTGGTGTCTGGGAAGTGCTTCCTGGTTCGCGTGGACTCTTCACTGTGGGTGGAGATCAGGGAGGGCTGACGTCTGCTTCCTGGCTCACCCGTGGACTCCTCGCCGAGTGCTCAGGGGTGGGATGCTGGGGAAGCCCTGTGGGGTTCTTTCTAGAGGGGCGTTGGCTCTTTGGGGTTAGTGTTTCAAAATGTCCATCTTGGAGAACACTTTTGGGGTGACAGCACCCCTGTGGTCTTGAAGTCCCACCTCCCATGTCCCTTCACAGCCCTCAGCCCGGCTGGACCACAGCTGCCCTAGTCAGGCCACAGGACTCCCTAGGAAGCATGGTTTTGCCTTCCTGTGGTAGCCCAGCAGTGTCCAAGATGAGGCCCAGCCCTGGGCTCGGGGGACCGCCTCCCTGGTGGCGGGAAGAGGTGGATGGTTCTGGTAGATCCAGGCAGGCAGGCTGGGCGTATGAGGGCAACACCTTCCCAGCCACCTGGGCAGACTTGGCCCGTTCCCTGGCCAGCTCTTCCCAGCACGACTTCCTGCTCAGAGCCAGCGCCGCCTGTGAGGCCAGGCCCAGCCCCGTCCTGGCTGCCCCGCCCTGCGCCTTCTCCCTGGGCCCAGCTCGTCCTGGGCACACAGAGCTTCGGGGGTGAGTACTGACAGCGGTGCAGGGGCCCGGCCGGGGCAGAGACTCGTGGGCACAACGGGACAGCAGGGGCTGGCCAGGGCAGGGATTCAGATGAGCGCTCTCTCTCTCTCTCTCTCTCTCTTTCTTTGTCTCTCTGTCTCTCTCTCTCTCCCGCTCTATCTCTCTCTTCCGCTCTCTCTCTCTCTCCTCCTCTCTCTCCCCTCCCCTCCCTTCTCTTTCTTCTGTCTTCCCCTACTCCTACCTCTCCACCGCCTGCCTCTCTCTGCCCTCATAACCATGCTTTGCTAGGTATCCTATGTATGAGTAAGCTGGGTTTGTGACTCAAACCAGCTTTGCGGTCATTGGAGGTGAACACTGGAATGAATCGCTGCGGTCCTCACCCGGCGCGGAGCTTTGCGTTCGGCCCTCCGTTGGGGGAGGGGCTTTTCTGGTTTGAAGGGACAGGAGCAGCCCACCGGTGTCCAGAGCTTCCCAGGGAGCTCACGTGGAGGCTGCGGGGCTCTGGCTGGTGGACAGCCCGGGGGGCCCTGGCCAGTCCTCTCTGGCCCCTGAGGAGTACAGGCAGTGTCCGCGGTGTCCATGTAGCGTGGCCTTGGGTCTGCACCGGGATCACAGGGCGCACTGACTCGGGTGTGCGCGGCCTCTCCGGTCGGGGAGCCCAGGCTGCGGCTGGGGACACGTGCCCCTTTGCAGTGGGTGAGGAGGCCACCTGGCAGTGAAGGAGCCTCGGCTTGAGTGGACAGAGGCGCATAGGTTTGGAACAGGCCTAGTTCCCTGTGGGTCCCACGGCCTGGCTGGTCGGGCAGGGCAATCCTGGTATTGTGCCTGTGCTGCTGTCCAGGTGACCCAGGCTTGCCCTTCATCCTTCAGGCCCAGTGGGGAGGCTGAGCAGGAGAGACGCTTCCCACCACCTCCTGTGCCCCAGTCCCACAGGGCGCACATGTTGGGTGGCAGGCACCCTGCCCAGCCCTGCACCATGGATGTGGCCGAAACAGCCGGTGTGCCTGCCGTGGCCCGCACAGCCCACTGGAGAGGACCATCCGCACACAGGTGAACCAGGTGGCAGTGGACAGTGACGCCACAGATGGCCAGCAGGTCAGGCAGGCGCTGGGCATTCAGCAGGTGGACAGCAGAGGCTGTCCGGGCTTGTAGAGTGTTGGCGTGGAAGTGGAGAACAGAAGCCTCCAGGGTGTGTAAGGTAGGGTTGGGTGGAGGGATGGAGGCAGAGGAGAGGCCAGCGTGGACGCAGGACGCGAAGGCAACAGGATCTGTAGCCTCTGTGTGCGAACATGCCTATCACAGCTTCCGGTGCTTTCTCAAGCTCCCTCAGCCGTGGTTAGCGGGTTGGAGCACACACACTTTGCACTCGTACCCAAATGTTTCTTCAGGTTTGCAAATGGTGTAGTTTTGTTTGTTTTCCACTTACATTGTTGCTGGTTTGAGAAAATGCAGTTTTAGTATATTAATGCAGTATCCTATGTGGATTTTTCTTTTTTTCTTTTTTGTTGGGGGTCCAGTCGTGGGGCCTGAACTCTGGGTCTGGGCGCTGTCCCTCAGCTCTTCAGCTCAAGGCTAGTGCTCTACCACTTGAGCCACAGCACCACTTCCGGCTTTTTTC